AGAAGATTATGCACCATGACTAAGTGGGATTTGTTCTAGGAATGCAGGGATGGTTCAACATATGCAAATCATTAAATATGATACAGACCAACAGACAAAAATCACATGATCATCTCAATAGATTCAGAACAAGCTTTTGATAAAGTCCAACATTCACTCGTAAAAACTGTAGAGAAAATCAGAATAGATTGTCCTTACCTCAATCTGATAAAAGCCATCTAGGACAACCACAGCCAACATCATACTAAATGGTCAACACTGAAAGCTTTCACTCTTAAAATCAGTAACAAGCTACGGTTGTCCACTATCACTACTTTTTTTGGAAAGGAGACATAAATAAAAAGAGTAAAGATATGAAAGGAAGAATTTAAATTATCATTATTTGCAGATAACATGATAGATGTCTCAAAAACTCCACCAACAGATTCTAGACTTAATAAGCAAATTCAGCAGCATAGCTGGGTACAAAGAATATTTTCCAAAATCAATAGCATTCCTGTAAACAAACATCAAAATCACTAAGAGAGAAATTAGGGAAGCCACACTCTTCACAATAACATTTAAAAAATGAAATACTTAGCAATCAGTCTAATAAAGGAAGTAAAAGATTTGAACATTGAAAATTACAGTTTTATGGAAAGAGAAATTGAAGAGGAATTCATAAAATGGCAAGATATTCCGTGTTCATGGACAGAAAGAACATTGTGAAAAATAACTGGGCTCCCATAACTGTCATATAAATTTAACTCAATGACAATCAAACTTCCATTAGCATACCTCACAGTTCTAGAAAAAGCATTCATACGGAAACAGAAGAGACAGAATAGCAAAGGCAATTATGGGCAACAAAGGCAAGACAGGAGGTATCAGAATCCTAGACTTGAAATTATACTAAAAGCTGCTATAATAAAATTAACATGGTACTTGCCAAAAACAAAAACAAAACAAAAATCAGACCAGAGGATCAGTAGAACAGAACAAAAGACACAGACACAACTACAAACACACTCAGCCACCTTCTCTTTGACAAAGGGGCAAAACTGGTTCATTGGAAGAAAAATAGCCTTTTTTTGTGTTGTTGGGGAAAAAAAATGTCTTTCTACATGCTGAAAACAAAAGCCATACCTACTACCATGCATTAAACTAAAGTCAAAATGGATCAAAGACCTACATATTAAGACAGAAACACTAAACTTACTGGAAATTAGGTAGAAATCTTAATGAGATGGGGTAGGCAAAGAGTTCATGAGCAAAAACCAAAATTAAAAAAAAATCTAAAACAAATCAGAAAGTCATATGCAATAAATGCCCCCTCAAAAGCGTGAATTTTTTTTCCTCAGAGAAGAAAATTAGAAGTGATATGGGGAAAAATAGATAAATAAAAGAAAATGAGATTAAATTATTATAGATTAAAAACTGGGGGTCAACTTAATGCCAGCAGAATTAAATCACCATGGTGCTGCGTGCAGATGTTTCACCTGAGGAAAGTTTCCAGCATAAATAGAGACGTGGAGAAGAGAGGCATTGAGGCACTGTGGGTTCTCCTCCGTGTTGCTGTTTGAGCTGTTGGTTCTCCTGGAGGAACTCTGGTCCTTACATGGAGCATTGTTTTCTGGCTCCAGAGAGAAGGTGTGTGCCGCTTAATCTCCAGGATGAACTCTTCATGCTGGCTTCCTGTCATGTACTACTGTACTTATCATTGAAGGAGTTCAGGGCCTCTGTGATCATTGGAGGAGCTTGGGGCCTCCATATTGCTGAGGATAGCTGTGGTGCTTTTCAGGACAGCCCTGGTCTCTGTTCTGAGCATGACTTCTTTGCTCTGGCGTAGAACCCTCAATCTATCAGCACAGCTCCTTCACCCCGCTTGCATAGACTTTCTAGCTTCTACCGCTGACCTTTGTGCTTTACCAGCACAGATCCATAAGAGACTGGCGTGAATCGTTTTGTGGGCTCCACACCTTCAGTTGGACTTGTCGTGAGCTCTGGGTCTTCATCTGGACTCATGCAGGACATTGCCGTGGGCTCCCTTGGCTGAATATTCTGTCTTTGGTGTTGTGGACAAACTTCCTGCATTTTGTGTTAACTCTGGATAACCACCATAAAATAATATTATAATTGATTCTAATTATTCTCTTCGTAACCCTTGACAAGAACAGGTGCAATGTTAAAGCATGAAGGAAGGTTATCCAAGCTTTGGGGAAACCAGTGAAGAAGACAGAAGGAAAAACCAAAAACCAAATGATCAAGAAAAAAAAACAAAGCAACAAAACAAAACAAAAACAACCAGGTTTCTCTGTGAATTCAAGCCTGTGGTTATCTTCTGCAGTCTAGTTTTGTGGTTGTATCCAATTCAGGGCATGTCTTTGCTGTCACTGTTAGACAAAGGAGGCACACAAAACCTAGATCTGTGCTGGATTCCAGAAAGCCTGCAGTATGGGGCTTGGTGCTGATTCTTGTTTTCAGCTCCAATGAAGCTCAGGCTGATGCTGGCCTCTGGTTGTGCAGCTGGGGCCTGGGTTGCTTGGCCTACAACACTCTGGTGGCTCTTGCCAGCCTGACCTCAGCTCCCTGAACTCGGTTGTTTCCTGCAGTTGTTCCTCACCCAGGTACTGTGGAATTTCAACACTGGGAGTTTGGACAAGCCAACCCATACCTGCTGTGCATTCCATGTTCAGATGACTCCTCCTTTACATGGCATCTGGGCAATTGCCCTCGTCAGGTGACATGACAGATGCTTGGCTCAGAGTTGCTTACTAGCTATTACGGCCCTCCGCATCCACTGCTCCCTTCCACTGTGTGTCTCTCCCTGGGCGCCTGTGGAGTCATTGGCCCTCACTGGGTCTCTGTAGATTTGATCTATGAGCTGGGAGCCTGAGAGAAAGTGCAGCTTTCCGCCTCCTTTTCCTGAGTTGTGGTCTGTCTCTTCACTTCCTCTGTGAGCCTGGTTTCCCTTCACATCTTTCTTGTGTCCTGAGGACCCACCTCCCTCCTTTTCTTCCACAAGTTGTTCCATTCTAGTATCTGGGATCCAAATCTCTGAGAAATTGATTTGTTGTTGTTAACTGCTTGGCCATCTTCCCAGATGTCTAACCCACTATTTAACTGAATATCTCTCTTATTCTTTGGAAGGATTAAAATTTTTATTATGGATAAAATTTGGGTAGGATTAAGCATCTTTATTATGCTACAACGATTCTTGGTATCAGAGAATTTGAATTTTTAAAGCAGCTTCCAAATGTAAATTAGCTGAGCTTTAATTTTGGGTTACACAGTTATTTCAGTGCATGAGTTATTCAGATGAATTCTGCATCCTCACATCTCATCATGTGTCTTTTACCCTTCATTCATTATTATGTAACTGTCACTCAATATACAAAAGTATTCATGTGTTCTGAGATTTGAGGCAACAAAAGTAGAAAGATTAATACTTGCTGGTATCAGCAGATCCTCTACTCATCAGATACTGGTTTTAACTGATGAAAACAAAAACTAATGTATTAATTTCCTAGGGCAGCCATAATAAAATAACACAGACTGGGTAACTTAAACAGAAATTTAGCTTATCATACTTCTAGAGGCTAGAAAACCAAGATTAATATGTCAGTAGGATTGGTTTTGAAGGTCTTGCTACTTGGCTTGCAGGTGACTACGGTTTTATTATGTCCTCCCTGATCCCTTGTCTGTTGGGATGCATCCTGGGTGTCCCGTTGTATGTCCTGTCTTCTTATGACACCAATCAGAATAGCTCAGGGCCTACCAGTAATGACTTCCTTTTAGACCAGCAATTCCTTAAAGGATGTATTGCGAAATATAGTCACATTCTGAAGTACTGGGGTAAGAGCTTCAACATATGAATTGCTGGGGAAGATAACTGAAACAACCTGTGGTATTCATTGTGCTTCACATATTTTAAGAGGCAAAAAGCAGCTCAGCTAGAAGCAGTTTGAAAATCAGTAGTAAAAAGTATCTGATCAAATGAGAGCTAGAGAGAACAATACATTAATGACTAAGGTTTACTGAATACTTATTCTTTACGAGATTTATGTATTTGTCTCAGCTACCTGGCCAGTGTGTGTACATAAATGTGTGTACAATTTTTACATAGGTAAGTTACTCATCACAAGAATCACACTACAACACAGTTATAACTCCTACCTAAATGAGGTTACCTGGGCCCTGAATTTTAATCAAGTAATTCTTCAGTGCTATCTAGATTATTAAAAATCATAGTCATGTCAGAGGAAATAAGCATATACAATTTACTCACTTTAAAAATTAAAATAAAAATAATTTACACCTTAAAAAAGAACTTTAATAATCTATTTTGCTTTTTTTTTTTGGTACTGAAGAGCCAACATTCAACCTCAGGCTTGCCAGTCAGGAGCTATATCCCCAGTACAAACTTAAATAATCTGTAAGATTCATTTTTGCGCTGTTTCCTGGTAGAGATAAATGTGAAAACTGTACATGTGTTATGTGCCAGAAAAATTTCACAATTTAAACTTAATTCTGTCTTCTGTTAAAAAAAGTTTTTTATGAATGAATAATATACAAGTTGTGTAAACCTATATGATAGTACAAGTTTTCATCATCTCCCTTAAGTGATTAAGTCTGAAAAAAAATCCATATACATGTCCAAATAAATATAAACATTTGCAAAAACATTTCCTCCTGCAATGTAGTTTTTATGTACTTTAGCATTAAAAATTGTCATTGGAAAAATATAAATCACCAGCTATCACATTTATATGCACAAATCACACTTTTCCTTAAATTAGTTTGCTTAATTGTCACTTCCCAGATGCCACTTTGATGAACCATCAAGTAACTATTTTCTTAAAAATCAAATATTTAAAAATCATGGTTAACTTTTAGGGATGCAGAAATGAAAGTCAGTGTCTTTACGTCTACTTATGTCACATCTGAATATATTCATCCTCTAAAATAAGACAATATACACATTCATGTATTTGGAAAAACGATACAGACAGTTTAAAGTGTACATTAAATTCAAATTTTAATGAAAGGAAAAAATGGATAGTGAATTTATTTCACAATAACCTTTAACTCCTGAAAACAAGGAAGATACACAAGTCACATTCAAATGAACCTGTGAAAAAAATCTTAATCTTTACGCAAAATACAGGAGATGTCATTTATAGTCCTTATCTTGAAAAATGGAGACAACTGATCAGAAAAGGAAGAGAAAAGAAGTGATTAGATTTTAAGCTTAAGTTTCAAGAAAAATTCAGGTAAAAGGCAGGTTAAAAACTCCAGACATGTTCTCATTGTTCAACATCACCGGACATATTAACTTCCATTCATCTTTTTTTCATAAAAATATAAATATCATTATTTATTAGAAATAATAGTTTAAAATTAGCTTTTCTTCTAAAATAAGCTGATTTCTTGCTTTAAAGGACATTTCACTAACAGTGCAACTTATAACTGTCCTGCAGTTTTATTTAATTCCAATTTATTTGGATTTAAAGAATAAATACTCCCTTTATCATGGTAAACTATTTCATCCCTACCAAATATAATTAGAATTTTATAGTATGTATAGAATGTAACATCACATTATTGTTCTGTGATCGCAGTGATTGAAGTATGGACTTTTTTTTTTTTTTGGTACCGGGGACCAAACTCACAACCTTGTGCTTGCCAGAGAGGAGCTTATGCCGCTGAGCTAAATCCCTGGCTGGACTTGCTTACATAGACAAATTCTGACCATAAAAATATCTAACAAGTAGGAAAAATATGAGAAATAAAGTTTAGTTATAGAAAATAATTTTTAATATCAAAGCTCATCAAATCTAATACATTTGTAAGAAATTTGTTGAAAAGTGCTGTCCATAACATAAGCTATAAAATGTTATTGTTTGAGAAAAATTTCCAATTTGTAGGTATTCTTTATGTGGAAACAAAGAGGCATATGCCTCTTTGTATAGAGGGCTTTGTATAGAGGGCTTGGTCACTTTACTAGTTATACACAGAATACCGTTGCTTTCTTAAAACAAAAACAGCAACAAAAACCCAAAACAATTAAATGGGATGTGAACTGCCAGTCAGAAAATGTATCATGGACATTAACTTTCCCTCTACCTCCACATGCCCATGTGCTAAGCACTTCCAGTTCTGACAGTGCAGAAAGACATTACCACCTCACGTAAAAATCAAACCAAAAATATTAATCATCAGAGCAACAGCAGCAGTAAGATCCTATAATGATGCGATTTGTTTGTACCAAAAATATAGTTAGGAACTGCAAAATCTAGCCTGCTTACAGCAACCATGCAAATGACATCTGTGCCCGGTCCATGCATACAACCCTCCAGTGCAGTGTATGTAAGTTTCCTGTTAGCAGCCACTGACGAACAGCTGGAGTGTAGTGAATACACACTGTGGCTTGTTCACCAACACCATAAATAAGAACAGCCAGTGCCATTATTCCAGTTGGTTATCTGAATGCTTCTTGGGACATGCTTAGATCCTGGACTGTTTTCTTAACAAGCAGTTTTTCTTGAGCTCTGGTCCTTAGTGAACTAGAAAGAGTCACTTTCTAAGACGATGGTAGGGCATATGCTAACTTTCCTCCACTTAAAAACTCAGTGTTACTTGTTAGCCACTGAAATACATTCTCCCCTTTCTCTATTCATTCCCTTTCTTTTCCTTATTATGGACCCTATGTAAACCTAAAAACATATGGTAACAATATACAAGTTTTCCCAAAGTGCAAAATATGTTACATATAGTTCCATAGGCTTTATTTAAACACAGCATTTTATACAATACAGTACAGTCTGAGACTTCTGCTCATAAGTTACCCACTTTGCAAACTACTATTTTAAAAGGGTTGACCACTTAAGTACCCCAGTGCTTTTTTGCACAAAGTTAATATAATTGAACTTTACAAGTTTATTCAGAGCAAAACAGTTTATCTTACACTGAATTACACACACACACACACACACACACACTCACACACACATAAATATATACATACATATTTTAAGATGGTCTTTAAATGTTTAAGTTTAGATGGACACATTTCTTAAATATAGACAAGTTTGCTTATAAACTCATGAATTATTTTATAGTTTGGTTTCTACTTTATACACATTGTATACAATATTTAAAAAACAATTTGTGGATCAATTCATTTTATCTCTTTTTGTGAAATCTGTTCACCCTGTAACTCTTTAGGCAAGGTTCTTGATCGCTGTAGAACCACATTAAGTTCTTCAATTACCTTTGATGGCAATTTATGATCTGAGTCCAAAGGAGCTTTGTTACTCTTGTCCTCGGTCTTCCTCAATGTTTTTACACCCTTATGGCTTTTCTGTTGCCCCTGCTGGACCTCAGACTCTGTGTCCTCCAGGCAGACGAAACTCCGGTGTTTTCTGGTTCGATTTCGAAGTTTGTCCTCCTTGTGCTCCAGGCACTGGGCTACGATGGAGGCTCGGTCCTTTAAGCTGGGATCCATGGTCTCCCTATCATGCTTTTCACTGAGCCGCAGCCTTTCAAGTTCTGCTCTTGCACTCTAAAAATAAAATAAAATAAAATGTTTTATGAGAAATCATGATTTGGCAAAAACTGATGCTTAAAAAATACATTCCATGTAACAGTTGATGCTTCCTATATAAGAGTCTATTCCTATAATGTAGGTTCTGCCTTTACTTTGACATAAGTGGCATATCTGACTTTATATACTGGTGTTAGAGCTGCAAAATCAAATGAAATGCAGATGACAGAAATTCATTTTAACATGCATTTAACATAGTACTTCAAAGATGTCTTTTAGGTTAGTTATTCAGACTGATTCTCAATTCAAACCTTCTTCTTCCAACTCATTTCTGATTTTTGTGTGCCACATGTACATTCATCCTTAGTTCAAAGAGTTATACTCACAGCACTGGTGGGAAAAAAATGCTCTTCTTGGCCATGTGAGCAAGGAAAATGCTCTGTACTACCAGCCTCTCTTTTGGAGTCATCATAAAGAATAAAGATGCTGAGAAATATTAAGGCAGAGAAATCTCCTTAACTTCTTTCTTCTGTGTTTTTCTGACCAATGAAACCTTTCCTCTACATAATGTCTATTAGGATTTCATGAATATTTTTTTAAAAATGAAAATATATTCTGCATTATTTGTACCTTTTTTCTGTTTTTCTTTTTAAAAATAAACATAAAAAATAATGAAACATGTTAAAATTTTTGAAAATGAAAATATATTAATACCTGCTTTTGTGTTAGTGGATTAGTGTTCACATTCCGTGAACTGTCAGGACCTACAAGTACTAAAAGTAACACCTGCAAGGGAATAGGGTGAACTCTTAAAAGCAGTGTGCAGGACAAATTGAGGCTGGGTAATATTTAGGGTACAGACTTTTTCTTTGGCTTCTCAGGGATCACAACCCAGTCAGGAATAAAATACAGCGTATATATATATTACAGTAACAGTTTTCATGACTTTTCAGCACAAAGACTTAGATGCAGAATTCAGGGGCCAAGTATTAATGGATACAGTGCTGAAAATTTAAGTACACTGTAAAGTTTAATATTAGCCTAAATGATTTATAAGCTTGTGAGAAGGTGAGGATGGATGGTAAAAGTGATCTGTTAAAAATGAGAGTATGAAGTGGGGAGAAAGTACAGGAAGCCAGGAGTGTTTTATATGAATAATACAGTGTGAGCTGGAGAGGCCTACAGGCGAGGCAAGAAACTCCTGCCCTTAAATGAGAAGGTTTTAATTTAAAGAGCAAGAGAGATAACGTGTAAGAGTAGATGAGCACAAGGCGACTTGCTCCAGGCAATGCCAATCTGTCGCAGCAGAGAAGCGGTGCCTACGCTCCCAGCTGCAGAGCACAGCTCTTTCTGTCAGAGCTGAAGTCATGGGCAGTGAATGCATCATCAGAGTAACTCAGTCACAGGGCTTTCGTCTGGGATCTTATATGCTTCCCATTAAATCCAGAGATGGAGGCCAAGTCTCGTGGAAAGAAAAATATGACAAATATATACAGATTACATTAGCAATTCTTTTAAAGTATTTGTACGGCTGAACTCACTCATTAGCTGATAATCTCCCTGGTGTAAAACACATAATCATATCAACAAATGTAATCGTAAAAATGCCTCACGCTTTATATGATCACTCACAGTTTAGTTATATTTTATTGTGCAGACACACGAAATTAAGAAATAATTTGTGTGAGGTCACATAAGAAAAACTTTGAAATGAGAAGTTGGAAATACCAAAGAAATAATAGAAAGTTTGGAATGGGAGGCCATGGGGTTGGGGCACCAGGTTCCCATCCCCCCCACCCCCGCCTTCTGGAGATGAGCAGTGCAGTGAATGTAGCTTCCTCCCGTGGCCTTTTGGGAGAAGGTAGCGCAGGGTGCGCCGAAGGCTGCATCCAGCGCTGTGTCTCTGCTTCAGAAAACACACAAAGCGAGCAGAGAGTGGGCCAGCGTCCCAGCGTCAGGTCAAGAGTGGCCATGTGTATCTGCGTTAATTAGGTCTCCACATGGCTTCCCACTCCTGGGCTTGCCAGGTGCCTAATACTCTCCCCTTGTGGCCAGAGAGAAGGTATGAAGGCAGGCCTGCATACAGATGCCCACAGCCCCGAAGAGCTGAGCCCTACACTTGACATGTCTTTGGAACCTGGGAACTGGCTGCCTTCAGAGTCCAATCTGGTGCAAAGGTTGTAACAGGTTGGGGAGGGTCCTATGGGGACACTGGTACCACGTGCCTACAGGAAGTAAGCACTGCCCAGAGACCATTCGCCTGACCAGAAGAGGGAAGCCCAGGGACGCACACCTGTGTATAGAGAAGGAGGCTGGGACCAGGGTGGGGTGATGGGACCCTTACTGTGACACAGCCTGCTACAGATGCTGCAGCCTTCCAGGTGACTCCTCTGTAGTGGCTCTGTTCCTAAGTGGGCACCTCCTCAAGCTGCAGTGACTTTTCTGGAGTAGCCACCTGCAGAGAGCAGCATGCTGGGCATATGGAGTCATGTCCGGTAGGCATGTATTAAAAATTCCCTGGTGCTCAGGTTTGGTCTGTAGCTCCCCTTGGTTAGCCCCATGCCAGGCAAGCCTGCCTCATGGATTATGAGGTTTGCAGGGCTCCCACAAGAAGGGCCAGGAAGATAAAACTTTTATTTTTAAAGATATTCACAGCAGAGCTGTATATATATATATATATATATATATATATATATATATATATATATATATATATTATACTGGGGACTGAAATCACAACCTTGCACTTGCCAGGCAGGCACTTGTACCACTGAGCTAAATCTCTGACCTCCAGATATGAAAATATTTTGTTATGACAACTGTAGTGAGGATTTTAACACAAGATGCTATCAAACAACCTGCACTGGGCAGAATGAAGAGTCCTCCTATGGCCAGTGTCATGGTGATAACCTGGATCTGCATTTTTGCTTCCTAGCTGCCATGTTCAAAAGCAGGTCAGGTCCTCTTCTTTTGCCCTGGCTATGCTACATGCTTCAGCCTCTGCAGGGAATTTAAATACTCCTACAGGAGTATTTAAAGGTGGAGGCTTTACTGCCAAAGGCAAAGCAGCAGTCAAACAGGCTGCGGATTTCAGAAAGAAATTCTGTGTTTTCATGTGAACTCTGCATTTTCAAATAACTGATAACAAATTCAAACTCTGATCACCACTATGATAACCAACCCAAGCAGTTTTGAGGATGTAAAATATTGATGCTAGACATCAACTTAGTTACTAAGTCCAGCCAAATCTTTTATAAACACATTTTTCTTCCACTGCAAAAGTAATACAGCAAGATTATAAATGCAAAACTTGGCCCAGTAAAAAGGAAGTCTTCCTCTTGCCATGGTACCCCAAAGAAAACTTCTGGCGATTTCTTATATGTCCTTCCAGGTATGTGTGTGTGTAAACCTTTTTACAGCCAGCCCTGCCTCCCCAGCCATGGGAGTAAGCCACCTCTAAAGCCAATCCTCAGACCCAGCGAGGCCCTCATGTAAATCCTGAGCCTTTGAGCTTTCCAGTTCTGGCAGCAGTCATCACAGAGCAGAGAAAAACTCCCTGCTGTGCCCTGGCTGAGTTCCTGACCACAGAAGGTATTGCTGTTTTAAGACACTGGGAGATGTGTGCGTGCGTGCGCGTGCACACAGTTTGAAATGGGAACTGAGGTTGGTTTTCTGAAATTTATGTGAATCTTTCCAGCACATCAAACAGCTCCAGCATTGTAAGGGCCAGTGAGGTACTACTACTATTTTCTGTTCAACTGTACCACTCTTCTTTGTTCACTATTTTACAGAAGTCATTTTAAAAAGAAATGGCTCCATCTCTACTTGACTTTATAGAGAGGACCTCACTGCATTGTCCACTGTAGCCCCTAAGTCCTAGGCTCAAATGATCTTGCCTCCATCTGCCTCGGAGTCGAGACTATCGGTGAGTGCCACCACACTCAGCTGTTAATGGCAATTTTGAAGCTGGTAAATTATCTTCCATGTTATTATTTTGTCCTAATGAATGTTAATGATATGTCAGGTGTAGTTATATTCTCAAGTATTATTATTTACTTAACCATCACAACAACCATATAAGGTGGAGGCTTTTACTAGCTCCACATATTTACAGACAAAGAAACTGTGGACACAAAGCTGAAGCAGCTTTCAAGACTTTACAGGAAGCAGAAGCATCATCGGGGGTGTCTAGCTTGTGCATTCTTCAGTATGCTGTCTGCCTCCTTTTCTGCCAATAGTTCACTTCTCCTGGCTTATGCAGCTAGATCCTTCCTAATTTACCTAATTAACTTTATAAGTCACTTCCTTCAGGAAGCTTTTGAGGTACTTTCACATGAGTTTGAAAAGAAATTTATGAAAGCAAGGCCAAATCAACAAACTTCCCAATCTGCCAAGAACTCTTCTGAAAAATACTTCTTGAACATATCTCTTGATATGAACATATTTTTTCTTATGAATGCATCTCCCTTAGTAATTCTGAGTTAACTTCTACTAAGAATCAAAATGTGGGTAGTCATCTTATATTTTCTAACACATTTATATTAATTTAATTCTACAGTAAATATTTTAATGTCCATATAAAAAATTTATCTTTTATTAATTTTGCTTCAAAGCCTTTTCAAATGTTTCAATGATTTGCCAACCCTGGAGCACTGTATTTGTCAAATCACTAAATCACACTTACCAATTTTCAAAAAGAAAAAAAGAAGCTTAGCTTATTTTAACTCATACATTTGCCAGCAATTAACACTGCATGGACTTGTTTTAAAGCCTTTAACAATTTTTCAAAGCAGCAGTTGTGAGACACAGGTAAGAGTTACTGGCAAGACTTTGAAGTAGCAGCCTGAGAAAAAGCCAGGGGGCCGAAAAGGGAAAAGGGAGTCCAGCTGTTCCTTTAGGGAGTGAGCCTCAGCAGCCCGAGAGGAGAGCACGGGATGCATGAGAAATTATGAGAACAGTAAAGATGGTGAAGGACAGGACTCAGGACTGACCCTTTATATGATGCATCTCTATAATAAAAGCCCACCTGATGGGAACCTAACACATTTCTAGGCACATTTTGAGCCATGTGCAGTCATGCCAGCGCAGTAGCTAAACATTGTGCTGTCCAGAGACCACTGCCCCTTTTTGGGAAAAAACTTGAATAGTTTATGAAAACTTTAAAGGATCCTACAAAAATGACATCTATTCTCTGTTGGACACTTCTCCATCTATGGAGGAACTGGCATGATATTTGTGGGCTCTTTTTGCCTGTGGGACAGGAAATTTTGTCTCCTGTCCAATTAACTTTCAGTTAATGCTTTTGCCTATAAATCTGTACTCCTACCCCAGTATTAATTTCCATTATCATTGAAGGAAGGGCCCATGCTAGGCAGTAATATCTCCAGTCTCCCGATTGTAACCACGTTAAAAAATTTAACTCTAAACTCGTAAATCTGGGATCAGGTAATAACTACTGTATATTTAAATAATGTATGCGGAATGCTGGTTAAAGAAGTTTGAGCCTAAAAATCTGTCTTTTGCTTTTCTCTGCAGTTGATCTTAAGTCAGTGTCAGGAGGACCTGGGTATAGATATTCTCTACACTTCCTTTATTGGTTCTGTGTTCCCTGGCGGGTTCCTGTGGAATGTGACTCAAGAATTTTAAAATTCTAGATTAATGGATCCAAAATTTTTCAGAATAGTTTATTAGCAAAAACTGTAAGTGTGGAATGGACAGAGGGACAAGGTCATTATTTCTTGGGAACTTACTTCTTCCTTTGATTAATACCAGTGAAGGGATATCAACTAGGGGAACCAAAGACCATTATTTTTGAAGCCTTTGTATTTAGAGATGAAGTTTTTCAGGGGAATAAATGTTCAGGCACTTTCCAAGCATGGAAATGCATTTGAAAAAACCTGATTACTAGATTAAAGTGCCTTTAGTCTTCTAAAGGTTTTTTTCTGCTTGGAAAGCAAAAGATTCAAATAGCTTAATCTCAAATTTAAGCTCAAAGAAGATGTAACACTTTTTAAATGCCTTTCTTTGTGCTTTGAGGGACTCAATTAAGACACTGAGACATGAGCTGGTTTTCAAGCAGCTAATGAGTTTTGGGAGAAAAAAAAATCTATATACTTTCCTCAAGAGACCGAACTGCACATCAAGATTGACACTGCTTACATGCTCCTACCCCAACAGTGAGAAACAAGAAAATGTCCTGTATGAAAATGCAAACTGATGCTCAGAGGTCATCTGATAGTTTCCTACATTAAGTAAAATACCCCATCATTTCCTCAACTACTGGTACTTCCGTATGTCTGTAGAAAGTCTAGTTATCATGGCTCCAGATTTTTCTGCCATGCACTCACTTTAAGGTGTTCTAATAAACTTCTAAGATTAATTCGAGACTCATTATTACCACCAGAACTTCTATACAGATGTTTAAAATCATTTGGCTACTTTAGAGATATGAAAATAAATGATATTGTACATGTATAAATAACAGGCAATGACACTAAAATACATGCTGTAAGGTTATTCATGATGTATAGGATTACTGAATTTTTTAGAGATCATTATTATTGTTTTTGAAGTTAGTGAAGTGATTAACACTTTTAGTCATATTACAATATAGCAAAACAAATGCTTTAAATTAATATCAGACAAACAAAATCCTAACCTACCTCAATATTTCTCCCGGCTTGGGTTGCATTTCTTTCATGCTGGATGGGAATTAGAGGTAAACCTCCAATTTTGGGGTTTTTGGTTATTGAACGCTTTCGTTCCTTCCCAGCTGGTGGCCATAAGTCATTTTCATGCTGTGGAAACACAATTTCATGCTGTTGGTGTGTGAGTTTATTATGTGGTACACCACGGCAGTCACTTGGCTCCTTTCCTATGTGCCACATTAAGTGATGTGCTTTCCATGAGAATGCCACTGTAATTATGATGTTGACTCTGGCAGTGACATGGCTCGAGGAAGTGAAGCTCTTAAGTGAACTGAGCTTTTGAGGTCTCAGTTCAATTTCTAAGTTTCAAATACATGCCTTCTATACTACTTATCAAACCAAATGGGGGAAATCATTGGAGGAAACTGGCAAATCTCTTTGTGAAAGAAAAATAATGCATTTGTCTACATTTCTGGGCTTTATAATCAAAATAACTACACATTTATTTTCTCCTCACACCAAAGGTGATTTTAATGTAATAATAATTTGATCTTATATATAACAAACCAGCCTAAGGCATGGCTATCAGAAAAATGAGCCTTCTTTTATGACCTTTTGAAAAATGTTACTTTTTCACCTAATTGAATTCCAAAGAAATGTTACCTTTTTATATATATATTTATACTGAAAATCGTTGTACAACAGAGAGTATGGTACATTTGTTCTCAAATTACTGACCACATAGTCTGCTCCAATAAACAATTATAGATATGACTGGAGAAAAGTTAATTTAGCAATGAGGGATAAATGTTCAAAGGTAAAAAAAAAATATAAGCTTTTGAGTGATTAATCCTTGAGATACACATATAAAAGAAAAATTCAAGGAATTTTCCTATCCTCAGGGTAGATTAATTTTTTAGAAGTTACGAAAGCAAATTGATTTTCAGACAACAATCTATGACAGATAATATAGAATGCCAAGTATGAAAAGAAATTTACAGGTATTTTAATGAAATAAAAACCATTTGGTAAACTGTGTAGCGAAATTCCACTCTATATCTTCCTCAATTTTTAACATATATCAACAAATTCTTTTTTCAGTTAATAATTTAAAGTATTTCTCTATAGCAAATAACTCATTTCTAAACATATTCACTGTGTATTATATATTAATAGCTAATTTAATATTGAGTGGCATACTGCCAGACTCTGAGCTTAGCAATATACTTATTTCATCGAACCCTTCATAATCCTACAATTTAAGTCTTATTACTATTAGATTTTGTGCATCATGTTCTTGAGCTGTAGAGGGGTATTTACTTTGATTCAGCAAATGTACAATGGCAATGTATTTACTTTTCAAAGAGAGAGAGTTACAAGCTTTAGGATGCTATTTTTATGTTATAGTCTCAAAACTAAAATAATTTGATATTGTAATATGATACAGTTGGGATATTCTCAACATATAAACCTGAGAGGAAACTGGCTAAAAGGAATTAGGTAATTTTTGTGAATTATTTTTTATGCTTTCAAACAACTGAGATATGGTACATGTCATGTCGTATTTTAAGAAAAATAGAAATCTCCAGCTCTAAATGGTATGTTTTAATTTAATATTTATAGTTATTGGGAAGTGTGGAAAAAAAAGATGATACCTCAGGAATCATGTGGCTGAGGAACATAAATACAAAGATTATACCTAAAATCTCTACTTTTTCCTCTTGCTCTCTTTCAAGTTGACTTAATTTCATTCACTGTAGACCCTTCGTTCATACTGTACTTTCTTCCAAAATTTTTTTTTTTTTTATTTTACCTTTTCTTTCCTTGCCTGGCTCAGATTTCATGATGAATAAACTCACTTCCTTGTCAATTGTCTTTAATGTCTCGTTTTTCTTTTTCCTCCATTCTTATGCAAAACCCTGAACTGGTTAGTCATTATTCTGCCTATTCATTGGTGGGAGAAACATAGGGAAGATTATTCGATTGATTGTTCTCATTTTAAGTTTAACCTTAAAATTCAAGTTGAGCTGTCAGCACTTCCTTAAAATTCTGCCATAAGACAATTTAAATCCTCATTCTGCAGGTTATTTTTCATCATTTTTATTAGCTTCCCTTGCCTCACAAGTCAGAAACTTACTGATTTAAATCAATAATTAATCACTTATAATTTTTCCACTATGAAATGTGCCTGTCTCCCTGTGTGCATAGCCAGAGGCGTGAACTTTTCTATTCTTTGCAATCAGCATTTTCTCTGATCACACAACCTTTCTGCAGACATACTTACAATTAACTTGTGGGCCAGAATATGTAATCAATAATTTGAAAACCAATGTGCTACACTTTCTGTTGTGTGATGACATCTGTTTTGTCAAACAGCTGCAAATCTACTCAAGATCTCTGATGGCGTAATCATCTCTCTTCTCTGCTCTCAATTTAGTCCTCTACCAACTGGATTGTCTCCATCAATGTATATGCAAAATACAATCTCTTCATTGTATATTAAAACCTCAAACCTACGTCATCTCTTGTTCCTTTCTAGCCACAACCTCATTAGCTTCAGATTAAATTACTAATCGAATCTTCTGTGCTCAACCATCCCATGGTTTCTCTTCTTCTACACTCCATATTTGTTTCATTGACTTCTAGTCTGCTTGATGTTTAAATTTTGAAATATTCCAAGGCTAAATTGAAGGCTCTGTCTCCCACCTTTCCTCCTGTCATCCATCAAGTCCTACAGCTTTTATAATCCAAATGCTGTCTCCTTCCAAACTATAATTCAGCCTCAAATTCTGAGTTTTGATGTGACTTATAACTCAGTTATAACTCAGGATATCTATCTGTGTATCTAGAAAGTATCTTGAATACCTTGTAACTTTCAATTTCTCCTATACCTCTGATATCTCTTACTAAAAAAACAACAACAGGATTCTCCTTGGTTTCTATTCCATCTCTCAAACTGCTACAGCTTATTAATTCAAAAATCTTACTGGCTCTACCTTCAAAAATATTCCCGAATCTGAGTATGTCTTATCATATCCACTGTTATCACCCTAGTCTGAACTGATACCTTCCACCTCACTCCTCCTCTTCTTCCATCTTTGACCCTCTATAGTGAAACAAGAGGAGATGTGATCTAGTTGAAATGCACTTCTCTTGTTTCAAATTCTTGACAAGGGACTACAAGATCTGTCCTCTGTCTTCCTCATCTCTTGAATCCTCCCTTACACAGTCTTTTATGTATTCACAAAATAGATCAAGATTATCACACGTGAACCTGCTGACTCCTCCCTGAGAACGACCCCTCCGGGATACCTGGACAATTCACCTCTTTACAGACAGATCTCAGCTCCCGTGTCACCTGCTCAGAACACCATCACCTGGGAACTTCATCAGTAGTGTCCTTTCTTACCACAGTCAGTCTTTTCCAACATATCATACTTACTGTTTCATCACACTGATATCCATTGGAAATTTTATTACTTATTTTCTTCTATTTTAGAAATACTAAGTCTGTACTTTGTAAACAAGTAGGGGCTACGTGGGGTAAATATACATATGAGTTGAATGAAACAGACCTGAGACTCATGAAGATTACATTTTAGTAAAAGAAGATGACATGAAGTAACTAATTACAAATACATTTTTAATTGGTGCTTCAGTGGAGAAATAGAGGGTACTAAGGATCTGATGGTCTGAAAGTCAGGGAAAGCTTCTCTGACATTGGATATTAAAGCTGAACTCCAGAGGACTTGTGAAGCAAGCCTGAGGATGGAAATAGGTATTACAACATTTTGCTGGGTGTATTTACTATCCGTTAGTATGGAGAAGCATTTGCTACTATTTTGCTATTTTCTTATGGGGATGAGTCATAAATCCTTACATCTAGGAAGTCCTCTGAATTTATCTTAAGGGACGAGTGAAGTAGTCTCCAGAAGTAGAGTGAACACAAGAAAGATAATCAGGCCATGCTGTTAGGCCCAGGACAAGAAGGATACACAGCAAGGAGCAATAACTTGGTTTTGGGAATAGTCTCATTTTCTGAGTTTCAAATAGAGGGTGTACTAATCTTAAGTATAAAAACAGCAAATATCAGTCTAGTTGAGCTATAAATAATTTAATCTCTTCTGAATATATGGTCTCTATTAAAATATTTCAAATTGGTTTTTTCCCTTTTTAAGTAGAATTTGTATATCTGATTTTTTTAAAAGCAGAAAAGTGTCTAAAAAGCAGTTAGCCTTTTTCTGCAAATGTGTTCCCAAGTAGTAATAGCAGAGACAGGCTGAGAAGAGCCATGTTTATTAACCACTGGTAAGGTTAATAAATTAAATGAACAGAGAAAATAGTTTTCAAAACAAATAAGGACTAGCATTTCGACTGAGTTAACTTCTTTCTTGTAAGAGAAATAAGAAAGTACCTCCTCAGTAATAAAGAGTGGCAACTTAATTGTTACCAATGAATTTCAATGCTCTGTGAGAAGGATTATTGGGAATTCAGTCAGACAGGGTTGGGAAAGAAACCGATCCTATTAATGGGACTATTTAACTCTTCCCTGAAAGAATGGGTCGTTCTCTAGGAAGGAGAATAAATGAAAAGCTGAGTGTATGAACTGGCCTTAGACAACTATGGACAATCATTAACTGCATGGTCCCAACAATCACTAACTGAATGATCCTAAGCAAACAGTGGGACGTTTGATTTTAAAGTCAAAGGTTGTTATGCACTTCTTGTTATAAGGAATACATGAACTGACTTCTATGAATTGTCTAGTATGTGACAGGTATTAAAGAAATGTTGAATCCTGTTCTTTCTGGAAAGGCAGAGGTGGGGAGAGTGGAAGAATAAGAAAAGAAATAGGACATTTTCTAAAGGACAATCTATGGGGGACTTTGGCAGGATGACAACTTAGCTAAGTCCCTCTTTCCTATGCTGGATCTTAAAGTAACCTACCTCTCCCAAGCCAAGGAGCTACTCAGCTGGAAAAAACAGAAGGATACCAGACAGGAAGAATCAATTCTCTTTACAAGGCTAATGGGTAAACTGGATTTTTTATGTACTAAATAAAAGCCAAGAGAGAATGAAAGTTTTTGAAGGGTGAGTGACATAGGTCTGTGGTAACACTGCCTGTTTAGCACTGAGGCAGCCCTGATTTCATTCCAAAATAAATCATAAATTCTTGGAGAATCACTATCACATTTAACACTTTCTATAAACAAAGTTTTATATTTCATTGCCTAAATGCAACAGATAGCATACCTGGGCAATAAAGATACTGGCCATCCACTCCATCTGGGTTTGTGAACTATCACAACACAAGTGCCTGCAAGACAATGTTTATAAAATAAATAATTCAAAAATACAGCTGGCTAATCTCTACTGTATTTATTGGTGATTTAGGGTTCAGAAAACTCTTCATGTTTCTTGTAGCTTATGGCTTAATGCAATCAAACTGGAACATTTCAGTACAATTTAGTTTTATGCTAAATAAACAACATCCAAGAAACTATTAATATTCTGGTTTCAAGAAACCCAACAAAAAGCTTTGAGAACTGTTGCACTGAGCCATAGTTTTGGAAAGGCAGAAAACTCAGTGTCATTTTATGTTTTCAAGTACATGATAGTAAATAAACATCTTTTCCTCTCAGAAACTCTGAGCCCCACCCCTCCAAAAACAAAGAAAAGTAGACTCTTCATCATTATGATTACAAACATTAGACTCAGGAAAAATAAATTACGTGAAAAAATGCTACCTAGCTAATAACTCCGAGTCAGTAATTTTCTGCTGAAACTCTTAATTAAGCTACAGATCTTGCCCTCGATATTTGGTTAGCCTGTTTGGGATGCTGGGCCTATAAATGAATAAACTGTAACACAGTAAAAGCAAAGAGGAGTTGAGTACACACACAACTGCAGAGGAAGGAAGATGAGATGATGCTGTTTATATAAAAGTAAAATTTGCAACTGATGTCAGGGTAAAATACAGAACATTTGATAAAACTTTATTCTTTTTGTTTTCTTTTATGACAGGGGTTCACTACGCTGTTCAGGTTGACCTTGAACTCATTTTGTAGCCCAGGCTAACCTTGAACTTGCAGTGATTCTCTTGTATCAGCCTCCTAAGTGCTGGAATTAGAGGCCAACATACCATGCCCCATTCAATAACTACGTTCCTATATTCCTGTATTAAATATAAGTTACTTAGTAAAAATATCTGAAATTGTGTTTTCATTTAATTTTCACAAAATTATTTTGTGTTCTCATTACTCTGCTCAAAATAAGTATCTCACGTATGTATATATGTAAGTAACATTTTGTAGAGACAAATAAGTAATGACTAGAGGTAGGAATCATGTGGTAAGATTTTAGGGGCATATGAGCTATTGTTTTGAAGAAGAAAGAGAAGTCCACTGGCTCATCAAGGAGAGTTTGAAAGTCAGACAGAAGCAAACAGCATATAAGACAGAAGAGAGGTCAGTAAAAAGACCAATTGTAATGTACATATGAAGTAGCAAATTAAAGACAGTTGCTCTTCTCTCCTTAAATCCAAAAGAGAAACTTGAGGGAAAGAAATGGAGCTGATGGAGTCATAGTTAGACCATGCATGCCATGATAACAATCCTGCAATGTGTCTCATATGACAGGATTCACAGAACAGTTTTAAAGGAGGACAGAAGCTTGAAACATTGGAGAAAAGTCTGTTTGGCAGATAGGCTTGGAAAACATGGTACAAAATTAAAGCCAAGTCAGAGCATGAAGACCACCTAAGGCTTCTGGAATAATTCAGGTAGATAAAGGAAGACTGGTGAAGGATTCAGAGGTATGGATCGATCAGGAGGCAAAAAGGAGGAAGATGAAGCCGGATTAAGCAGCAACACAGATACAGGCAGGCAAGGAAGGAGACTGAACTCTCTAGGAGACTGGTAGATACTGGTTAGCACCTATGAGAAAAGTACATAGATAGAATGGATTTCAGATTGGGATATTACTTCTCATACATTAAAAACAACAGAATTATACCTACTTATCTCCTAAAACGTGGATTTCACAATCACGTAACATCTCTAGAACAATATACAGCTATGCTAAAGAGGCATTGCCATAGAGGATAATATGGCGTTGAAACCAACTTGAACCCTCATAAAAATCTGTTTTCAACTTCTTAGATTTATAGTGTTTGGCAAATTATTTTTCCCATCTATACTTCTATCTGCTAAATGATGAAGTCATTTATTTTTATATTTCTTTTCTTTTGAGGCAGGGTTGAACTTACTACGTAGCCCAACCTGGCCTCAAACTCCCAGTGATCCTCCTGCTTCAGCCAGATTAGAGCTGAGATTATAGGTGTGAACCACCAAGGCTAGCTGAAGTCATTCTTTTACCCAAGTTCTCATCAGTGTGTGAAATCTGAAAACTACCAATGATAAACTTACCAGTGATGCTTTTCTGAATATGCGGTCAATCCCCAGCTGCATCAGAGGAAAAAGCACACAAGCAGTACATTAAAAATAGCAATTTTACAAAACTAAAAGGAAATATGATTTAATGGTGGGAATGCAGAATGGAGTAGATTTCTCTAAGATGCTTCAACAGGGTTAGTGTATCTAGAAGTAAATGCTAAAGGATTTGGCTACACAATTGTATTATATGGGAGACAGAAGAAAATAGTCTTACAATGTTATGAGCTAATGTTATGGGTGTGGGGTCTTGGGTTTGATACTCCTGATTGAGTGCTCTGGGTTGGATGAGCTTGTCTCCCACCCCCAAAAGGTCTATTATTTGAGACGTTGGGCTCCACTGTGGTGATGCTGGGCATTAAGGGGACTTTTCAGAGGTGAGATCTACTGGGAGGATCCTGGGTAATTCGAGGTGTGCCCTGGGAAGAAATTCAAGCACTTCACACAAGAGCCCTTGACAGTTCTCATAAGAAGGTTGTGACAGGGATGGGGATTTAGCTTAGCAGCTCAAGCACCTTCCTGGTAAGTGCAAAGTTGTAACTTCAGTTAAAAAAAAAAGAAGAAGAAGAAGAAGGTTGTGATAAAATCCTGAACCTGGCCCCACCTAGCTCTCTCCAGCTTACTGGGAACTATTACTAGCACCTGTGCACAAAGCCACACATTCCCATGCTGTGCTGGACGTAAGATGGCCCTTTCCAGAGCTGAGCCCAGGCAGGCGCCATGCCTCGAACCTCAGAAATGTGAGCCCTTACCTTATTTAACAGGCATTTGTCCTACTTAGTATATTAGTCACCTTTGAGTGACCAAAAGCAGTCTGTCTTAAGTATTTCATTGTGGTAAGACAAAGTTAATATACCAAGGGCAAACGTCTATGAAAATTACTAGAATTATTTACATAATTAAAGCATAGGTAAAACACAAAGTAGGTGTATGTACTTGGCAAGGAGTATGAGTATGGAGGACAAAGTACAGAAATCTGGAGTATCAGAATCTGAGAAGCATATACAGTTCATGATGTTTCATGATACTAACAAAGGTGCTGTGTTAGTATTAAGATTAATTAGCTCATCAAAGTGATTTATGATAAGAAACTGTGTTATTCACTGAATACTGGTGTGGACCAAGTGTTAAAGGGGCCCACAGCACACCAGCACGACAGGTCCACACCATCTCTAACACTGTATGCTGTGTGTTTAGTACTAACTTTGGTAACAAAAAGGGTAAATTAAGAAGCCAGGCCCAATACATTCTACAAGTCAAAGATGGGGAGGCTGAGGGGCGTCACTGCCTGCTGCATGCAGACCTGCCTGGAACATGGAAGCAGCTGGGAAGTGCTGTGCCAATTGAAGTGGAGCCCACAACTCCTGAGCTCAGCTGAGGGGACCTTCTGAGGATTTCTTGCATATCACAGGGCAGGTAACAATTACCAAGGAGTGTGAGCAGTCTCAGTGGGAACATCATGCTTTATCTACTCTCAGAGTCCTTTTTTGGCCACAATTTAAGCAACTTGAAGAATCTGCTAAAGCTTACTCTGTAAAGACTTAAAACTAAGGAATTTGTTCCTTAAAGCCTTCAATAGATTCATTTTCTGAATCTTCTCTCAATGGCATCTTCCTCCTAACTTTTTACCTTGTCGGAGGCTTCATTTTCTTTTTTACACCAAGATAAAATTTCACCGAACTCAGAGGAAACATTTTGTCATGTTTACTGCTCTGTAAGGAAAAAAAAAAAATTTTGTAATCACACAGATTTTATAAATTTCCTTGAACATTTCAAACTGTTTAGATTCTCCAGTGCCTCATGAATATAATGCCAATTTTTGCTTTGATAGCAATAATGAAATAAATTTGGTTAATTTTGGGTATGTATATATGCTTTTTACATATGTATATGTAAAAAGTTGTGCCCATATAAATATATACATCATTTCATCACACTTTATAGAAAACATGGGAACAGATGTGTATCAGACCTGGTAAAGTTTTCATATTTCACAAATGTGAGACAATGCAAATGTCATGTTTTATAATTTTATATATTTCATTATTATACAATTATATGGGAAGCACTCTAAATTCAAATGTATTTCTGTGCTCTACTGCACGTTAGTTCATATATTGTGAATTAGATAAATAAAAACTCCAGATAAATTCAAGAAATGAAAACATGATTTTCTTTTTTTTTTTTGTACCAGGGATCAAACTCACAAATGTGCACTTGTAAAGCAGGCGCTTATGCCACTGAGCTAAATCATATGGAAATATGATTTTCTATATATAGACTTTTGATTTCAGTATTATGGAAGACAAACTGTTAACCTCTATAGGCACATGTTGAACTATCTTAATATTTATATGAATGAAGATTATTACAAATAATTCATTAAAATATATGATAAAAAGGACTTCTCCATACCCCTCTTAATATATTTACTTGTGCATAGGTAATTATTAAAAATTTTATCAGCTACTTGGATATATTTTTTCCCAGGGAAGTTGTCTGAGAGGCAAAGCTAGAATCACTACACTCTAATTTACAATTTTATGCAGAAATGTCATAATATCTCATTATTTATCATTTGATAGCCCACAATATTTTATAAATAATCACAGAAATGATTTAACATAACACATTTTCAATGCAGTAAAAGTTCTCAAGGAAATCTTGTGCTTCAAATTGGTAGGTAAGAAGAGCAAGAAGTTTGAGGTTAGAGAGATTCTGGTGTAAATCTGATCTTTTTTTTGTTTTTGTTTTTATTTTAGTAACCTGTAATTTCACAGTATTTCTCTTTGACTTCATTTTCTTATTTGTAAATAAGAACAATTTAAACACTGACATCCTAAGTTGGGTTACTGTAAAGACTAAGTGTACAAGCAAGGTGCTAATCAGATTAAACAAAATAGTGCCTGTAAAGGACTTAGTATGGTAATTGGCATTCAATATCTCAGGAAATAATACCTATTATTATTATAAATTGAAAACACATAACTCATAGCAGTTGAAATATAGAGTTTAAGATCTTAGGACAATGCACAAGAGTTACATAAAACATGGGCTAACTGAATACTAAGTTCTATATAAGTTAAGTGTCAGTATTTCTTTATAAAAGTAGTCAACTTTTAAAAGTGAAAGATATCATTTTTATAAAATAAACTTGGCTCCCATGGAACAAAGAGGCTAGCAGAATATTAGAGGAAATACATACAGGAGAGTTAAACAGACAGATGATAAAACACAATGGTTTTATGAACCATAGGTCTGTGACAATAATTAAATTCACATGGTACATTTACCCTTATTACTAAGTTTCTTCTTACCATATATATACACATATATTTTTATATTTCTTGTCATATGTACATACAGTTTGTATGTAATAAGCATGAATGATATCTTTTTTTTAACTCTTAGGGGTACAATACCAGAAATGGAACCTTTCGGTCATAGGTTAGATGCATGATTCAGATATTTGCTAGGCTGATTAGAGTTTACAGTTAAACTTGTATTTATATATTTGCCATCCATTTGCAATTTTGATTTAAAAAATTTTCTCTTGTCCTTAATTCTTTATACAAGTTCCATATTAAATATTAATATAATTAATATATTTTATATTAATTATAAAATTACCTGACTTTTAAACAACATATTTACTATTAGCCTTAATTTTGCTTATTTTTTACTGACATTGTTTTGTTTTTGCTCTTTGAGACTCGAGTCTTGTAATTAAGTTTACCTGATTTTATGGCATCATTCCTCCATATTAACTTTTATGTTAGAATTACATTATTTAACATAGTTTAGCTTTATTGCATGCATTAGTACTTGGTTAGGAAAATATTCGCAACTATTTTATTTTTTATGCTCTAAAAGGTCTTCAGATATTCTCATCAATTTATCCTTTGGGGTAAACTGTAACTTTTTCAGTCATCTAAAAAAAGAATTTCCCTTGGGAGCTTGACATTATAGTATATCAATAAATAATATATTAGTAACAATTATAGTACATCAATAAATTAGTATTAGTAACATTAATGTCAACTTTATTTCTATCAGGAAAACTCTGGAGCTTTCTTCAAATAATTTTGTACTTTCTAAAGCTATTTCATAACATTTTAAGCATTTTCTTTTTAAAGTCTTAGCTGGGGCTTAAATTTTTTAAATTTGGTATTAGGAACTGAAGCCAGGGCCTTTACACTAAGCCATCTCTCCAAAAGTTATTTTGTTTGTTTTGCTTTATTTTATTTTTATTATCTTTTCTTGAGACAAGGTCTCACTAATTTACTAAATTTCTCAGGCTGGATTTGAATTTGCAATCTTATGCTTCAGCCCCCTAGAGCGCTGGGATGACAGGTGTATGGCTACCATGTGCAGCTTTTTAACTTGTGGAATTTTAAGGAAGAACATTTTAACAATTTTAACTATTATAGAATGCTGAGGCAGATTTATATGGTAGTAATCATTCCACTACAGGATACATCAAGGAGAGCTGACTACTAAGAATGAATACAGTAAAGGTGATTCTCGTGCAGCTCTTTCAGATATTAAATCAGATTACAACTGAGGTTAGTATCCTCCCAGTAGTTCAGACAGTTACTCCACTGAATACAGCATTAACTGTGGCAGCCTGGTAGAGAAAAGGGCAGCAATTCCAACAATACAGGGCAGAAGAGGACTTGCATGCTTGAGCATGAGACATGCTCTTCCCAAAGTCTTCCCATTGTCTTTATGGCACATTTTTAAGTCCAGAAATGCCTCTGTTTTGAGGACCTTTTGGTAATAGATACTTAATGTAATACAAACAATTCTCCAAGCCACTTCTGTCATGTAAGCTTATTTATACCAAATTCTATCCAAGGGAATTCAAATAACATCAATAGTGAAAAGAGAGAAAAGAGTGAAAATCAATTGTGAAAAGAGAGATTTTGTGTTTCAATTTGTAAACTGAATATGCATAAAGAGAAACTGAAAAATCCTAATGAAAGTTTCTATAAAAGAAAATATCATTTGGCAAGATAAACTTACTGTTGGCATATTAGAACTCTCCTAGTACGTGTAATTTCTGGATCACTTTTCTAAAAAGTTCAATACTCTAGACTGTTAAGTATGCAGTGTGTTGCTTTATTCACTATATTTCACAGTAAAAGTTTTAACTAAGTCAATTAAATACATATGATTAAAACTTTTTACTGTTGTTAAACAACTTTTAACACTCTTTCCTTATTCACTTGCTTCTTTCATATCATTAACAGTGCAATGGTAATATTCTTTGAAACCTCTCACCTTTATGTAAATCAAGTCTGAAAACATTTTAATTAACATTTTCTGTGCAGGGAAAACTTTCAAAACAAATATGCTTTCCCCTGTGTATTACTCTAATTTGTTGTTAATGAACATTCATAAATTATCTCTAATTAACACAAAGTTTCTTTAAACACTTTTCAATTTGTAATTTTTACTCACTTCTCAATAAATCACCACACACACACACACACACACACACACACACACACACAGAAGCATACACATACATTAATGTCAACTGCCAAGCCTAGAACCAAAATCATTACTCAAATAAGTTGGGTTTTACTACTGATTATTTACTATGAAATCATTTGGAAAGTCAACATAGCTATAGCTGTATTCACTATCTATATTAACTGGGGCAGAAAAAAAAACAAAATTATGTGTTGAAAATAAACAGCACTTTGAGTTTTAAAGGACAACCTCTCATCTGATTTTCTTAATGCATAAATTAACATACCAGATGCATTAATTTACTCTGACAGATTAAGGAAATACAACTTTCAAATGTCAAATAATCAGGCTGTTTTTTCATAACCAGTGGTCATTGTAACTGGAAAGCAAAACTCTGTTCGTTTGTATTATTTTAAATGCAAAAAGAATAAAAGCGACGATACAGAATTTCAAAATAATAGATTAACAGTTGTTAATATATTGCACATTGTTATCTCCAAGTAGTTGCCAAGATTATAAAATACAGGCATGAAAAAACAATCAAATAATAAAAGCACAAATCATTCTTTCTGATAAACTAATAGATTAGCAGTGTAATTATCTAACTTGTATATCTCTAATCTTTTCCTTTCTTTCTTTTCTCCTTTCTCCCACCCCAACAATGTTCTTTCCTTTTGAGCAGTTTCCTCCCACTTCCCTTGCACAATATCTCCTGTACATTTGGATCTTATTTACTCTGTTTCTTATATCAGAGAGAATATACAATGCTTGCACATGTGAGCCTGATTTATTTAACTTATGAGTATGGTCTCAAGTCACTGCCTACATTATTTACCTACAAAATTTTTAAGTTTATTGTTCTTTGGAGTTGACTGGTATTCTACTGCATAAAAATACTACATCTTTTTTATCCATTCTGCAGTTGATGGGCATTTGGGTTGTTTCCAAAAGTAAGTTATTACAAATTGTGCTGCTATAAACATGATTGCACATATATCACTGTGGTATGATAGTTTCAGTTCTGCAAAAATATCCAGAAAGGGAACAGCTGGATCAAATGGGACCTCTAAACCTAGTTTTTTTCCCCACCAACAGTGGAGAAGGGTCCCCCACAGACCACCAGCTTATGTTATTGCTTAATTTCTTGATGATAGCCATTTTTTCAGGAGTGAGATGGAATCTCAGTGTTGTTTTAATTTGCATTTTTTGAATGACCAGATATTGAACATTTTTTCATATATTTTTCATATATTCTCATCTGAGAAGCATATATTCATCTCAGCTGCCTATTTTTGGATTAGATCTTTGAATTTAGGAGGGAGGGCCTGATTATTTTCAGTTCTTTTATGTTCTATATAAATTATAGATATAAATATAGAAGTCCTTTGTCTGAGAAACAGTTGGCTAAAATTTTTTCCTGTTCTGTGGGTTTTCTGTTGGTGACTTCTTTTGACATACAAAAGCTTTTTAATAAGGTGAGATTCCATTTGTTGATTATTTGAAGTACTTCCCATATAGCCTGGAGTTTGTTCATAAACTCTCTGACTACCCCTATGTCTTCAAGATTTCTACCTACCTTGTCTTCCAGTAGATTTAGTGTTTCTGTTGTAATATGTAGATCTCTGATCCATTTGGACTTTAGTTTAGTGCATAGGTCTATCAGGCTTGGGTCTAGTTTAAGTCTTCAGCACGTGGAAATCCAGTTTTTCCAGCACCATTTATTAAAAAAGGCTACCTTTCTTCCAGTGAACATGTTTGGATCGTTTGTCAAAGACAAAGTGGTTGAATATCTTTGTAGTTGTGTCTACATCTTCTAATCTATTTCACTGATGCTCAGGTTTTGTTTTTATTTTGTTTTGTTTTGTTTTTATTTTGTCACAGTAGCTTTGCAGTATAATTTCAAGTCAGGGACAGTAATGCCTCCAGCTTTGTCTTTGTGGTCCAGGATTGCCTTTGCTCTTCTAGGTTCTCTTCCGTTTCCAAATGAATTTTAGCAATGTGAAAACAAAATGTGTTATGTGTTTTTAAAGAGCATTATTTTTCAGGTAGGCTCTCAAGACTATAATTGCCTACTAGTTTTTATAAATTATTTTAAAACAGGGTGGCTCTTTGAAAAACATACAAATTCGTAATACTTGTTCTAGTAAGATACTGCAATTTTCATCTCAGAAAAACAATCCATCTTGAGTTACTACTCCATCCACGTGACATATATTATATCAACTTCAGTAAAAACAGTACAAACAAGTAAACTGTACGTATAATCATGTTAAAAAATATCTGGTACTCTAAAAGAAAAGAACCTATCACCTTGAAGTATTCTGTCAGAAAAAAAAAAAAAAAAGCAAATAAAAACCGACCAAGCTAAAATAGTGAAAACTTCCTTTTCTTAGAAAAATTTTTGAATCTTTCAAATATGACACCTGGGGAATGAATTCTGACTCCATCACTTAAGTAGTATATGGCGTTGTGCAATTTAGGTGATGTCTTTCTTCAACAACGATAGTATTGATTTCACAGAATTATTATAAAGGTAACAAGACATGGTCCAAGTGAAATGTATTGCTTTACATAGATTAGACGTCAAATCGTAGTCCGGCATTTGACTGCACTGCTGTTACTGCTACCACTGACCACAGATTGTTATTAGACTTTTTCTCAGTTTCTAGGTGGGAAAATAAGGTGTGAGCTCTGTTAAAGAACACATCAGTTTCAGAATACAGAGATAAGTGATGCAGCATTTAGGACTGCTTTGTAAGCTTGCTAGCTGAATAATTCATTGAGCATGAAGAAAGAAAACTCGAGATGAATACACAAAGTATAAATACTACTAAAATGTATTTATCCCCACACCGAGGCTTCCTACAGGGAAACTACTTAAAGAATGTAGAGAGCTCAACAGAATCTGTAAAGAAAAGGGTATGCGGTTCTGGAAAGCTGCATAAGAAGTTCTTTTTTCATAACGTATTAACAAATGTTTTAATTTGGTCTACCTTTATACATCTTCACAGCAAAATACCGAAGTGTCATTCATTTAAAGTAAGTAAGCAATATTTACTCAAGTGAATTTTATAATTCAGTATTAAAAAAAACTCTCCAAGTCTAGCTCACTGCGATTCTACATTTAAAAGCATTTCTTCACTACCATTTTAATCTCAAAGAAATAGAGATGTCCTTGTATACACCAATATAGCCACCCCCCAAAACAGAATAGTGAATATTTCCAACTATAAAGTTTCTCCATGGTAATTTTACAGAAACATTTCTTCCTATCTGAAGCAAAAATCTGACTTCCTTCACTACAGAACAAGATTCTGATTCATCAGTATTGTGGTGTGAATTTGAATTCATTTTTATTGATGAGAAGGAATTGTATGGTATGAATATGTCATTCCTCTTCTGATGGACATTTGAAATATTTCCAGGCTGTAGCTGTTGGGAACATTTTTGTACAGGTGCTTTTGTGGACATAATACATTGCAACAGAACTGTTGAAGCATAGGACAAAGGGATGAAGAACTTTAAACACCTCCTAAACAATTCTACACAGTAATTGTCTGATATCATTTTTCCAGCAACAATATCAGACATCTAATTGATCTACATCCTTGTCAGTATGGAGGTTGTCACTCATGGTTTCCATCAGATCCATGGGTGGAAAGAATTTTAATTCAAATTTCCTAAAAATTAATGAAGTTGAGCACTTTGGTTTCAACAGCTCTGTGGATGCTTCTTTATCCTTCTTCATATAGTCTCTTTCAATTCTTTGCCCAATTATTTTCTGGGTTTTCTTTCTTGTTACTGATTTAGAACAGTACTTATAAACAAGACATGACTCCTTTTTCAGACATATGTATTATGAATATTATTTTCAGTATAAAACTTACCTATTCATATTCTTAGTGGTGTCTTTGATGAACGTTATTATTGCCACATATATTCATAAAACGTGCCACAGTTTAAAAATAGTTTTACATATATTCTTGATTAAACTTCAAAATAACCTGGCCTGTAGGACTCACACTATCATCATCATGGTACAGATTCAGAAATTGAGGTTAAGAGGTTAAGTTACTCATTCACACAACCAGCTCTAGGCAGAAATGAGATTTTCTGATGCTAAGTTCAACATGCTCATATTTACATCATTTATCTAACTCTGTATGTTACAATCTCTAATTTTTCTCTCTACTCCACAATTTCTTAATAGAATCTTTTACAGAATTTAGAGAATAATCAATTAGATATGATTTGTAAATATGACATTAAATAAGCCAATTCATTTAAATGTATAAAAGAGATATTAAGATTTATTATCACTTTTAGATTTTGTCTTTTTATGCCACTGTTCATTAATTTTCATTATAAACTTAAGCATCTTGCCTTAGGATATAACACATTCTCGATTTTATTCACTAAGATGCTGACTTCTAAGCTATTTTATATAGCACATATTAAAGTTTTCTTCAGGGCCTAAGTCATTCTGTGTCCTAAAAATATTAAGGTGCTTTGAAAGGCCATAGAAAATTTTCTACCATGTTACTGAGTGGGCTAATGTCCCAGCGGCTGAAAGCAATCATAAGCTTATCATGCATTTTTTTTTTTTTTTTACTAAAAGATTGTGACTTCAAGAGACATGGCTGAGAGTAATGTAAAACAAAATGTAAATGACTACATCATACAAAAAAAAATGTGTATATATATATATATATATATATATGTTCAAATTCTACTTATATAATTACCTTTGGGTCCTTGTAAAGAAAGAGGCATCCGTCTCGTAGAACAAAGTATCGGTCTTGAAATTTATTTCCAGACAGTAATTTAGATGGCTCTTCTTTGACTTTTAAAACTCCTTCCTTGATACCCTTTTCTGAAAATACAGGATTGGCTTTGCAAGTCAGTTACATTTTCACGTACTTGGATTACAATATAAAACATTTGTATATTTTCGGTTTTGTTAATACAAATAATTTTCTAACACCTAGCAGCCTAACGGGACTTCCCAAGAACTCCATTTGTGAGGAATACTACTCTTATCACTCACAGGCCTGCCAATGCTGTCCAATTAGCCACGGCCGGTGAGCACAAGAAATGTGGTTACTGTGAACTTCTGAGGTGTGCTGCAAATGTAAAACACATACCGGACACCTAAGACTTCATTTAAAGAAAAAAAAATGTAAAATATCACCATTCTAAATGTTGATTATATGTAGAAATGCTATTTTTGGTATGTGAGACTAAGTAGGTATTGTGGCTTGTTTAAATGTCCCCCCAAAGTCTCATGCAGTCATGGAGGTCGCTCAGTCTAGCATTTGTGATGGGCTCGTTGTCCAGCACTGGGTGGTGGGAGTGCTGCACCTGCCGGGGCGGGGAGCCGGCATATGCTATATGGGAGCACAGGAGGCGCGCTCCTCCCTTTTGCCCTTCCCGCTCTTGTCACTTGGGACAAACATGAACAGCTGCTCCTCACTCATGCCACCTCCTGCCTCGGAGCCAGCTGAGTATGGTCAGAAACCTCCAAAACACTGTAAGCTAAATAAACCTTCCCTTCTCTAATTAGGGCATTTTGTTTCAGCCTTGAGAAAAAAGTAACCAAGACAGTAAGCTATACTAATAAAATAATAAATTTCACTTGTTTCTTTATAGTTTTTAAAAATGTAGCTGTGAAGTAATTTAAAATTACGTATGTGGCTTAAATTATATTTCCTTTGGAGGACATTAGTGTAAACAGTGCAAATGTACTGGATGGAGGAAACATCTCCAAAACTCTAAATCAGGAGTCTAAGAATTCTAACGCATGAAAAATCCAGGAATTCTCACACAATTGGAAAAATTGTTATGACTATGAGAGAGGCAAAAGTAAAATCATTACAGTAGAATATTTAATAACATTGAGATTTCATGTGTGACATGGCTAGCATTCCATACTTAGACATCATTCGACCTAATTCCATTAAAAACTCTTTTTGGTGAGAAAAAGTTTTTTTATTTTGTAACATATAAATTATCAATATATTTTCAGTCTAAAAGTTTTATCTGAAATCTAGATACTCAATGGGCTACTTGAGAAATGAAAAGTGGAAGGGGAAAATAACCTAACAACACTAAAAAAACACATTACATAGTTATTATGGTGTCACCTTCTACTTTTCCTGTAAAATAGAAGCAAAGAAACTTACAAAGGTTTTGCAGGCTTCTGTGCCACTTACATTGGACAATGTACATAACACTGAGTACAGAACAGTCTATCAGAACTAGGAACTTTAGCAACTTCCTACTATTAAGAGGATACAATTTTAAATGTACATGTAGTGTCTAAATCTACAAAACAACATGAAAGGTCTCCCAAAATACTTCCAGTCTTAAGACTTGTTTATTTGGGGAGTCATCTTTACTATCATTAGCATCAGAAAACAAAAACTAAAAACTAGGAATAGATTCTCGTAACTCAAACATGAGAATGTAATAAGTTGAAGCCAAAATCAGTGACAATCTGTGTCACTGATTGGGCCTCAGATAAAAGTACAAAGGTAATTAACAAACTTCAACCATTTTTATAATACAATATAGCCCACAAACAGGATAAATACTGTCCTTAATAAAATTCTTGCTTAAAGTATATTAGTTTTTTTTTTTTTTTTCCAGTAAACTGGCTCAGCAAACCTGCAACTTTTGATTCTGTTTTTCTCCATAGACCTCATCATAAATCTGCAGGAGGATCCAAGGACTGAAATACCATAATACAACTACATACAGGATGTGGTTTACCAGATTGAAAACTACAGGAACACATTCTCTTAACATCCAGTCAAACACAAAAATATTTAAAGGGTATTTTATAGGTAAACAAGAAGAATAAGAAATTTAGCAAGCAATTTAGTAAATACTGGATGTACTTGATGATGGTGTTTGAGAACACAGACATGGAAAAAGGCATGATAATATTGCTTTAAAAATAGATAAAATAATTTTAAAGTTATAATCAAGTTGTGTGATATATATTATTTTATCTGGACTAACTGCAAAACTATATCATCATCATTTAAATTATTGCTCAAATTAATAAACCTTTCAAATTAGGAATAACAATATGGCCAGTGTCTAGGATATTGTTCATAGTTCAAAGAAAAAGCAGGTGTGATTGTTAAGGTGGATTATCAAATTGATTAGTTTGTTAAGGTGGATTATCGAATTGATTAGTTTGGAAGGCCTAGAGGATTAGTAAGGCACACTGACAAATGTGTCTAGTAGGACATGAAGGCAGGAGCTTGAGGTCTGTATCTGGTTCCTCGTCCTTCTTCCTCTGTAGCAGTGTTTCCCCAACCGGCTTCCCAGCCTCCACAAAGGGTGAAGGTTTGCTTTGCTTCGACCTTGCCCCCTTAAGTTTCTGCCCTGCAGCCAGTCAATCGGACTGAATCTCCTAACATCATGAGCCAAATTAAATCCCACCTCCTTAAAATTGTGACTGCTGTGTACTGTATCCCAGAAATTAGAAATCTAACTAATACAGACAATTGGTACCAGAAGTGTGGTCACTGGTGATTGACAAGTTTAAAATACAGTACCATAGCAACCTGTCTTCTATTTTGTTACAAGAAACACTAAAGAAAGAAAAATACTTCCTTGAATAGGAGAGATTGGGTATAAAAAGATATGTCAGTGATGAACTACTTGAACTGTTTTTATTTGCTTGAAACTGTAAACATTCTGTCCTAAAATAGTCATTTATTGCATGCTATGTCTTTTATTTAAGTAGGTTTCATATATTTAGATTTTCTCTTTCCTCTGGGCAAATATAATGCTTACCAACCCTTTAAATTTTGTATAGTAGATTCCTACATGAAATAAAGAAGCTAATAAAACTTGCCAAATATTTTTTCTTACTACAGAATTATATTATCACAAAAAGGACATTCACAGTTCACAGGGAGTATCAAAGACTATCATAAATTTCAAAGAAAATACTTCTACTTGAAGTGGGCTGTCTTATCCTCAACTTTTTAAATTTCTTTGGATTTAAGAAGATTTGATGAGAAGTGGAAGGTAATTTCAGCTAGACTATGATTTATGGACTCATATTATTTTTCTCAAATTTTCTTTCACTTTAAGTCTACTGACAGTTAAAAGCTTAGTTATTTAGGTCTGAATATTTCACAAACGATTGCATTTTTAACTATACTACTCCAAACCAAATGTAACTCAAAAACATGATATAAAGCAATCTAAATTTATGAACAAATAATGACCTGCATTTGAGTTATGACCTGTATGTTTATAGTATTTCTTCTCCACTTAGATCACAAAGATCTGATTGTCATGAATGAAACACTTTTGGGGTAATTTTAAACAACTTTAATGATTAAAGTAAGACTTCAACAATATAAAATCACTTATTATGGAGTCATATAGAATGCTAAATTTACAGTTTACTTTGTGACAGAGATGTTGAAACTTACTATAAAATATAACAATAATAAAAGATGGTTTAATTAGAGTAACTATGACAAAGTTTAAACAGCAACTTAAATGAAGTTTCACTACTCTTATCTCAAAGTCTCAGCTTTTAATCCATAAAGTACAAATGAAATTTGAAGACTATGATCTTTTTTCACTTAATTAACTCCTCACTACAATAATGACAATGGCACAAAATGTTTCTGAGAAATAAAAGTAGCTTTTGAAAAACAGAACTCATTTTCAAGTAGAGATAAAACTTTCACTGTCTTATACTTCTATAAACATAAAATATCTAATTACCTTAAATGAATGAGCAGAAATTAAATATTTAATGATTATAAAATCTACTCCTACTTATGTCTACATTTCAAATGGTTTAGATAAAGTAAGAGAACTGAAGAAACTGAAACTCCTAAACTACACCAAATGATTATTACATAATAAAACTTCTTGGTTTAGAAAGTGATGAAGCTTTATGTCAATTAGAAGCATATGCTTATAATGTATCCCCTAAAAATCAAAAAATTATCACAGAACCAGAAAATGAAATATATATATATGCTGACAATTGAAACTAATGCCATGAATATGATAAGCAAGTGTGCTACCACTAAATTATTTTCGAAACTCCAAATTTATGTTTTAACAAATTACCACATTACCTATTTGTTACTTGGAGAAAATATGATTGTATCCAACTATCGTGTTTTCAAAGTGCTGATTTCTGTCTGGCCCCCAAAATACAACAAAAAGTCTTAAGAAAATCTGTACATTATTCCTACTCTGTTCTGAAGAATAACTGTTTCTGGGATAAAAAAAAAATTTTTGTGCTAACAAAGTATGAGAGAAGTCTACGTGATTTATTAGTTTCCTTGTAGATTCCAATTTCAAGGGGTAGCAGATACAAGGACTGCAGAAGAATTTTGGAGGAAGTGTTCACTGTGATTGATTTAAGAGACATTTGCCAACACAGAGACATAGTAGGCTACATAAATAACCTACTCCAAATTTATCACAAAGTGTATCCTACAAAAGTGATAATAAGCCCAAGATTCTTCAAGATACAATTATAGGAGAAAAAACATGACTGAAGAAAAAAATTTCAAAATAAGACAATTTTCTTTGAAAAGACAATTCTAATATTCGAATGAATACAGAATTAGCCACAACGAAAGATTATCTTACTTTGAAAATCTGAATATAAGTCAAACATTAACATTCAAGAAAATTATACAGGGAAGGAAACTACAGTAGTTCAAGCAGGTTAGTTCTATTCTTGGTCAAAAATATTAACTACTAATAGAAAATATTCAATTATATATTTACTTATGGTGTTACTCTAGTTTCCTAGAGACCTAATTTCCTGGTAGAAAGTACTTCAGGTAGCAAAATAACAGAGAATTGCTGGATTAACAGAATGAGAAGAGGACAGTTCAGGGTTAGGGATTTTTCTATAGCTCCTACTGCGGTAACAGTAGTGGAGGAAATAAAAGGGGAACACAGTTTCCTGACATTTCACTACAGAGAATGCTTCCTCATAATGTCTGAAAATACCATTTAAGTCTACCACCTTTTTTTTTTTTTCTTATGGTTGAGCTTTCCAGTTTCTACGCAAGGTGCTTTTTCTAGACTTTACAGACTTGATGCTCTCCTCATGGAAGGGGTGATTCATGTATGGTCAAGGTGACACAATGGGATATATGTAGCATCATTACAACACCGGATCTTCCTTCCTAATTTGTGGACAGAATCACGTGCAGTTTGATGCTGAGTTGTTTCTTTATACCTTTACAGAGCAAAGATTGTACTTACACATGATTTACATAAATTGGCTCAATCCTGATTTTATTTGCTCAGTAATTAACAGCACTGAATAATACCTGTGCTTTGGGTTAACCTTGTCCCCATATATACAACACCTTCCTGTCATACCTTATTATGTTAGTGTTCATTATATAGCGCTGTTTGCAGAGCTAGCCAACTAAGATTCAGATAACAGTTAATTTGTTTTATGTAGGTATAAATTTCAAAGATTTTTCAATGTGGAGATTACAGATATTATGAAGAAATATTAGAAAAAAATTATCACAAGAAAGATAAAACAGAACAAAAAAGTTGTCATTTTCTGTAACAAAATAAATCATAAAATATAAAGTATATATCATAATACTGACACAGAGTGGTTCACAAGTTCAACAGTTTTTCATTTTTTCTTTTCTTTTTTTTTTAAGCAGGGGTGCCGGAAACTGAAGTCAAAGTCCTTCACACGCTAGCACAATGCTCTACCACTGAGCTACACTCTCAGCTGCATTTTCCTGCCAAATTTTTATTACAATATTAAAGTAAAAGAATAGGGACTAGGCCCCCAAAATAAATAAAATGGAAGAATAACAGACTTTGAGAGCTAGAAGAGATTTTCAGACATGATCTAAATTGTTACCAGTGCCACCTGAAATAGGTATTACACTTGTTGTGTAGAGCTGTCCTGTTTTATAGGATTTTTTTTAGCAGCATCCTTGGAGTCTACTCACTAAATATCACATGTACCACATCACTACACACCAAGTTCCAAGCTGTGACAGTCTCAAATATTTTCACATGTTCCTGAGCAGCAAAATCACCTCTAGATGAGAATCATGGCTCTAAGATATGGATATGTGACCCATTCAAATGATCAGAATTCCATTGCAATTGTTAAGAAAGTATGAGAAGGATATGGTTGAAATCATAGGTAGGAGTAGCAGAGAAATTTAAAATAAGGTAAATGTCTCTGAAAGGCTATATTTTTATAACAAAAAGGATAAAACCTACTTTATTTATTTAGATATCCAGAAGAAAAAAAATTCTGTCTTGCAAAATACTTTCAAGTAAGTGTAAGACACAAAAGGCAATACTTTGAAATCAGAAATTACTAGATTACCTTTGATAGCATAGTAAGGAGCTCAGTGAATATGGGCTACTAGCTAGATAGCCGGCAATCACATTCGATCACTACACTGCATTTTATAGCTATACGACCCTCCCTACCTTTCACAATTTAAAAAAAAAATAACCTAAAAGGCTAATCTTTTCTTGAAGTTAATATTCAGTAACAGTAGGACTCAAACCCATCTGTGGGAATCAAATACTGGGCCTCATGCATGCTAGGCCAGTGCTCTATCAATTCTATGATCTCTTCCTCAGCTGTAAAATTAAACTGATGAGGAAAAACGACTATTTCACTGGTTTTGATGTCTATTCAGTTTGGCTAATGATATGTCACTAATATATGATAATGATTATTAATATTACTTATAAAAATTGTAGTAACTTTCATACCAAAACATTTGAGTCCTTAGTTTCTGGAATTGAACAATAAATGAAGCTGATTTAAATGTTTTCTAAGATGTCACTGGATGACAACACAACAAGAGAATGAAAGTGGCAAAATAAATTTTTCTTATGTAGCATATGCATTCATGTTGTTTTATTTGGTTCATTTGTGTTACTTCTTTAACTTTACAGCATGCACTGTTTCCTTCCATTTGGATGGCAAGTATTCTTTCCAGAAATGTTTTATCATTTTTTTGTATATCATTTCAAATTAACTGAGACTTACACCAAGCATTCAGTCTCACAATCTGTGTAAACTGTACTTCTTCAATAGCTAGAAAACTTTCAAATATAAGCATAATGCAAGCTCATCAACAATCTAATCTGTTCATTTAATATGATTTCAAAATTGTAAAACACACAGGTACAAGTACTGCAAATGTAAGTCTTAAAAATATGTTACCAAAAAATAGCCAACAATTATAACTGGGCTATTATGCTAGGAAAATTTCCTCCTGTCCATTTATTGCTCTTCTTTAAAACTCTATGTAGTCAGGTTCTGTAGCTACTCAGCTGCTGCCTTTGCAAATATGACTTGTGCCATATAATTAAACTTTCAGCCGTTTGAATTTTCAAGCACCACTGCAGTGTGAAGAAACAGCACCTACCTCTGTAATGTTTAATTGTGTCAAGAGATAAGAATCTCTTCACCACAAGATAAGCAGAACCGGGTTCAGCTAATGCACTCCACCGAAGCACCTGCTCCAATATATTTTCTGTGTAGTGAAGAGGACGCTCTGCAAACATAAAAGCCAAATACCTAAGTTTTTGTCATTATAAATTTTTTAAAATCCTAAGATAGGCTGCACGATGATAACATGAAAAGTATACACAAGAAACCCTAATTCCTAGAAAATTATTCAGCACACAGTTACATTTACTGTGCAGATTAATCTGCAAATAACACTTGTTTGTTATGCAACTATTCTTTCTTAGGTACAGAAGTGATTTCCTTCAGGTAAAATCTCAGCAAGCTACTTTTAGTTCAATGAACATGTATCTTATTCTATCTTCTTTTTAATTTAAATAACATTCTGGATAGCTTAGGGAGAGCTGATAATCTGCATATGCAATTTAAAAGGATAGCAAAACTAATTTTATCTAACACTAAATAACAAGCATGACTTAACTCTTTTTCCCCAAAAGATTAGAACTTTATAATTTTTGATCAATACTAATGAACAATTTATATCTGGTATTTTTATATTTAATATACATTATAAAACACTATTTTGAATAAAATATGAAAATTATTATAGTACTAAAGAATCTATATTTACCTATTAATAGACATATTAATCAGAAATATTATGTGGCAACATTATACATCATTCATATATAATAATAGGCCAATAAGCAAGAAAGTAAATGACAATTTAAAAGTTCCTCTTCAACGAATCTTCGTATCTTTTCTGTTTTAGACAAATGAATCATACATTCATAGCATGGAGTTTTAAAATGTCTTACAATTATAATCAGAGTTTCATGAGGAAATTTTGTTGGTGATCAAAATATGCCAATCAGTTAATAAAATATGACACAAGCATATGCTGGAAAAAAAGAAATTCTAACTTTCATGGTGCACTGAAAATAGCATAATTAGCAAGAAGTTCTGATGTGACGATGTTGATGCTAATTTCTCATAGCCAAATATGTCAGCTCAACTCCCCTAAATACACAGCATACAGAACTTGAACTTACTGTCTTCAAAGTAATATTGCCAATAATAAACCGGAAAAAGAAGGCAAGCAGCATTATAATTGACCTATGATATTATAATTGGTAATAAAATCACCAATAAATATGGACCAAATATATCACATCCACTCTAATTCTGCTCTCTCAAGCTAAGGCCACACCATTGGATAATCAATAATCCCAGCCCACAAAAGACTATTTTCTACTTCCAGGCAAATTACAAGATGTTTGCTTCCTATCCAGTAAATTGAAATCCAATTCTTCATTCTGTGTTTATTTGAGTAAGCTTATTTATTATTTATAATGGGAAATTTTGAAAGACAGCCATTACTCCATTCATCTTAAAATCTGTATCTAATTTACTATTGTGTTTCTTCTACACATGGTAATGAATGCATAATAGACACTCAATAAATATTTCAGGTATTAACTACTAAATGAGTTTTGCAGGCACCATAAATTACAAACAAATTTGTGGTAAGATCATCAGACAAAAAAAATTTTTGAACTAGAAAACACATTCGTGCTTCACTATCATTACTGTGCTTCAAATAGTTTTCCAAAAGCTTGGGCAAAGATCATAATTGGCTACAATTTGCCAAGGTTATAAAGTGGTAATTCATTACCCTATGAACTGGTTTCTTATCATTGGAATTAGAAATATCTAAATGTCAAGACAATTATAGAATAAATCCTCTCTTTATCTATGGTATATTCTTGTAGACTGCTTACTAGCTCTGAGACATTATTGATCCCAATAATAGCTATCATTTCTGGAATAACAACTATGCATTAGATATTAAAGATATTATATATTTTATGTTATCAGTTTAAATTTATGATAACATTCTTTATACATACTATTTACTATGTACATTTAGAGTTTACACTCACATAATAATTAAATCAAGAAACAGATTTGAATCTGAATCTATCTGATTTTAAAGCCCCCATTTTCAAGTACAATACTAAGTAGTGATGGTTTCTCATATGTAATTTTCTGGGAAAAAAGTATCAAATTACTGTTTCATTTTGTTATGTTTCTGAGGATTGAACAAGGTATCATAAGAGGAAAAAAAGAAAGAAAACATCAATTCACGCTTTCTGCTTCACTTTCCATCCTACTTGAGAAGGCAGCCAGGAAATATGGCAAATAAATTTAACATTCTGCATGTAAGGAAACCATGTGACAGGGCACTTGTGCTGACCAAGGAGCAATCATGTTCTTACCTGGAACAAAGCACGGGACTTGAAATAAAAACTCACTCTCCTTGGCTACAAGATTTAATTGGTAACGAGACTTCCAAATGTCAGAACATTGGAACAAGGGTCAGTATTACACACTACTACAAGAACATACTATAGTGATAGAAACAAAGTGTTCTTAATTATACTAAAATATATTACAGCAGATATGGAGACTTATCAAGAAGCATATAATTTAGATTTCAGTAAGGTAGGTATACGGTTCACATCAGTTTCACAGTATGAAATACTACAGGAGAAGAAAAATCTTACAAACTCAAGATACTAGATGAAAATGCAGTGGAAAGAGAGGCATTATAATGCTAAATGCTACCATTATACAATAGCATTTTCATGGTAAGAAAGTAGATTAAAAGTACGAAAAAGTGACTGAGACATTAAATACTGTTGGACTATAAATTTATAGAAATAAAAACTACCTATAGTTATAATCCTCTGTCAACATAAATAACATGGTATATAAGTCATTTAACAATATGACATTATGGAAAAATAAGTTTTATAATATCAGCAGAATAAAAACTGCTAGAAATTTAGGATATTTTGGGAAAAATAGGTTACAGAGCTAGTTTTTCAGCTAAGTAAGCACACTTTTAACTATTTAAAATCTTATGAAAGGATAAGGCTGGCGATTTAGCTCAGTGGCTCTAGCACTTGCCTGGTAAGCACAAGATTGCGAGTTCAATCTCTAGTACAAAAAAAAAGAGCGAGACAGAAGAAAGACACTAGATATTAGGGCTGGGGCTTTAGGTTAGTGCTGCCTGACAAGCATGAAATTGTCAGTTCTATCCTTGATACAATAATAATAATTTTATGAAAAGAATAAGCCTGATATCCTTTGTTAAAAAATAGCTATTCATTTTCCTCCTGAAATAAAAACTGTTGTCCTTAAATTTCTGGTAGTAATGGTCAAGAGCTTCCAGAGACCATTACAACTTCCTCAACAATCAATCTTAGGGCCGCACAGGCCTTTCTTTCTCCCATTCACATGATCAGAGGGTTGCAGTCCTTCATGTCAAAGAAGAGAACCTCAAGGATTCTTTTAAAAAGTCAGATCTTTCATACCTAGTGCTATGAGGAAGAAAAAGAAAACATTTTGCCATGAATTTGCTGCACAGAAAGTAACTGCCTCATAACTCAAACTTCTCAGTGAAGTCTACTTATGAGAGTGCTCAAGCAGTTGTTTCCAAGATACAAAGGACCCAGAGGGTAGAGGCGCTACACGGACAGAGAACAGGATAAGCTTCCAGATGGAGATTAGAATAAGAAAATATTGTAGAAGAGTCCCTACTGATGGAGGTAATATTCTCTCTGCTCAGGTTTGGAATCTGGATGTTTCCCCAAGACCAGGCGTTGAAGGCTTCGTTTCTAACCAGTGGCACAAATGGGCAGAACTAGCACCTTTAGGAGATAGGCACTAGTATGAGAAAGTTAGATCCCTAAGGGTATGCCCTTCAAGGGATATGGGAGCCTGAGCTCTCTCTTTGATTCCCAGCCACCCTGAGTGAGTGAGCAGCTTTACTCTATCGCATGCTCCCCACCATGATGTTCTGCTTCATCACAGGCCCAAAAGCAACACTGCCAACCGGTAAGGTGCTGAAACCCTGTCAGCTGTCAATCAAAAGAAACTTCTGCTCCTTCTAAGTTGATTTATCTGATGTACTGGTCACAGCTAAGGAAAGCCACCCAACCTACTCTGCTGCTGAGAGTTTGAGCTTACGCTAAAAATGAGCATGAGAGGGTCAATGATTTTTTACATCTTTCAAGAAAGGCAAAAGAAGTGTTTTCCATCCAGCATAAAATTAAAGTGTCCCAACAGGTATTCATCTAAAGGGAAAATCTATATATAAGTTAATTGAATATATAGTCCTAATTCAAGTTTGCGTATTTACATGATTGCAATATAAAAGTCAACATATGAAAATGTGCTTTGTTTTACTACTATTTTAAGAATTGTTCTTCATTTCACTAATGATGATAATACTGCTAATACTATTGGTCACAAAACTGAAATGTTATTCTGAACAGATCAATAAAGATTCCTTTTATAAATGTAAGTTAGATGTAAGTAAGAATCTAATTTCATCATTTTTGACTACCTATGCATATTATATAATTATAAACATATCCTTTAATATATGTTTCTCTTAATTATTCTGGTATATCTGGGATATTAGGCTAATTTTTAAAATAAGTGTAACAAATTATTTCAGAAAGGTAAAGTAAATGGTATGGAATATTTATTACATAAATAGGGCACTAGATAGGACAAGGTAGAAAAATACTGTTTTATCTATTTATTAATTATCATTTTATTACTTAAGTATTTATTTTTATATTAGGAAACTCACCAATTTCCTGTTAACATTCTTCCTACCAACTAAGATCTTGTGCTTACTATTTTTTTATCTTTTATCCTTTCTATAGTTCACTGTATCTCTTCTGCATGTTACTAGAAATAAAGCTTTTTAACACTTCAGAAGGTCAGGAACATGCAAGTCTCATCTACTTCAGTCAACCAAAATAATCACAGTCATTTTTCTTGTGTCCCTACAATTGTTCCACAGGAAGCAGTAAAAATACCCTAGGATTCTCTCTGCCAATTTCTACGGTACAGTTGACCACACATTAACATTAAGCCAAATTTGAATTAACTCCAAATGTACATATTTTTGATGTCCAAAGAATAACTGATTCAGACACACACAAATCAAATCAACTTGATGCTTCCTACTATATTGGTATCTTCACTAGGATAACTGTTTCCTTCCTTTTTATTAGAAAGGAAAAACAACATAAAACCAATCAAATCTGAGCATTTTATGGTGCACCATGTACAGTTAGCTAACTAGTCATTTTCAGAGAAAGATGCTCCCAATTTTCCAGAAAGAAATTTCAAAAACAATGTTTCTAAGTAGACAATAATCCTTCCAGCTGTATGTATTTCCTTCATGTCATCATCCATTCTATCTGTTCTTCTCTGTCAGGAGGACCAGTGACGAAAGGCACTAAATTCCCATAGCATGACACAGGCCAATGCTTTAATCCAGCAATGGCAAACCTGTCAGAGCTTTCAATGGTAACAAACATCTGGCTGACGCACTATGTCATAAGTTTGCCAGCACTGCTTTCATCAAACTTAATCCTTGAAAGAATAAGTGTTAGTAGGAAGAAGATGCCTATATTAAAATATATGATTCAGGATTCTGCAGTGAATCTCCTAAAATAAACAGAAATAGAAGTATGCAGGAAATAACCAACTGCCCAAGTGCTAACCAGGACTTAAAAATCTAGTAGCAGGGATATCTTTATATGTGCTTTCTACAGTTGGATATATCTCTATGAAGAGTCACAATCCAAGTCACTTAGATCAGAATGGATATATTCATTTTCTATCTCAGTTAAGATGTTATGGGGGAAAATGTTACTGGAGAATGTTTGTATCAGTGCATTATCCTATAGGTTGTGAGCAATACAAATATTTAGGACATATGTTAAGTGGCCTAAAAAGGTATGCGCAAACAATCCTATTCTACAAATTAGATAGTATGCAGTATTGTAAGTGCAGAAGCAAATGATCTAAAGTAAATAAGTGCAATCTATGTTCACCTGAATGTCACTGAGCCACTTGAGCTGGATCTTAGGGGAAAAGACACAATGGCAAAATAATAGAATAATTATTTGGTAGAAAGATGTAATCTAATCTGTGATTTAGATACATAATTCTGGAAACAATGTGAACAAATATATTTCACAAATACAATGAAGCTGATAAGCTGGGCCCACTATGAAACTTAAGCAAAAAAGAAAAATCAAAAACTCTTGCATGTCTATATCACATAATCATATAATAGCTTTATTTGGTTAGTAGGGGTTAACTGCATGGCACCATGCTGGACATTAAAGACAAAAAGAAAAGAAATAATTTAATCCAAAAAAATTAATTGAATTCATTTCGAGAGGCTCCTGTCTAGATAAATACAAATTTAGGTGCTAGCGAGTACAAAAAGATCAGAGGACAAGCAATGAAACTGAATATGGATTTTAAAGGAGACAACCAACTCGGCCTCCTGAGGAAAGAACAAAGGTTTATGTGAGAAATGCACTCACATACTGGTCAAGTGCAAGGAACAGAATAAATTTTCTATAAAGAAATGATAAAATACGGGAAGACTGCAAAGGAAAGTGAAGGAAGAGAACCCCCCATTTAGGTGGAAAGAAGAAAAACCAAAAATGAGTCAAAATGATTAGAGAATCAAGAAGGGAATCTGAGCAGGATTGAAAATGGAATGAAGATCATCAAAGGAAAGGGGAAAGAAAGGTCATTAACAGTGCCATGGAATGAGCAGGTAAAGTCTGAGGCAAACCTACTGGATCTGACAGTGGGGTAAGGGGACGAGGGTGTCATCGGAGTCATTTGCTAGAGCAGTTCTGTTCATGCAGAGCCCTGAGCTGACACAGGGCAATCTGGGTCTTGGTAATGAATATTGAAAAAATCAGTATCTAGCCACAAATTAGGGTTTTTAGACAAGTGTGCATGATAAAAAGAAATAATAGAATTAAAATATTAAGATGGACTAATTGAAGACACAGCACAATCATTCATTCCCATTACCTCTAACATTGACTACACTTCTAATAAGGCACTATGGGGTATTTCAACATTAAATTTTAATTTTTATTTGCAGGTGGCAAGGTTTCCTTTTGGCAGCCTGACAGTTATACTTGAAAAGTCCTGAGACCTTAGAAGGTATTAGCTAGACAGATGGTCAAGGGATAAAGACATTCTTCACTCTATTTTTTTTTTTTTTCCTCTCCTGGAGGTCTTTAAAACCAAATGGTCTTACTGGAATGTTTAGCTTATTCAGCATGTGACCACTGGGGTAGTCACAATGTTTTAAAAGGTCTCTTTACCATTCCATTTCTTCATAAAGAGGACAAAATATTTAATACACTAAAGACAGAAGAAAATGAAGTAGCCAAAAGAAAAAGCTTCTGTTAGGCTTAAAACAACAACAAAAATTAGAGTAATAAATGATCTTTAAATATACATACTTTGTGTTTCTTAAATTAGTGGGCATATAAAAGAATGGTGGTAGTGACACAGCATATTTTCAAAAATCCTACTGCTTGTCGTTATAAACAAAGGCCTTCTTTCATGAGACAAAAACACAGCTATCTAGCACTTCACACTTTATTTTTATAGTCAATACCTAAACTAACTATTTTGATGAATAAATTAATAGGAAAGTAACCCTGACTGATGGTAACATATAACATGTACTTAGAAGGGAATTTATAACAAGGAGCTAATAATTACAAAACATAAAATGTTAGTAATGACTTCTCTCCCCTCCTCAAATAACAATATTTCTTCAAACTGTAAAGACTTTAAAAATCCCTAACATGTAAATCACTCACCTAGCTCTTCATTTTCAATGACTTCAAATGTGGCCCATATATCACCTTTTGTAGGAACAATATTTTTTATTGCTAATATGTCATTGGTCAATTCTTCTGCTTCCATCACAGGAGATATCTGTAAAAAAAGGGAGTATGTTTTAACAATCTATGTTAGACAAAGAGCTGCCTTGTACTACAGCGGTAATACTCTCCATCTAACAATACCCCTCTTCCTCATATGGTAAAAACTACGTTCTCTAAGCAGTAGGAGATAGCATGTTCAGATCATCTCCATTATACTTAACATAATTTAATGTAAATACAAAGGGTTATTACACTATGGACATAATCAGGAAGGTCTTTCCCACTTGGTCAGAAAGGAAGGAAAGATGTTCCTAGTCACACACAGGCTTTCACCAGTCACAAAGAAAATAATCTCCTAGGAATAAAACTTTTCATATGTCAGTTCTATAATCAAGAGCACAAAGTGACTTGGTTTATTCAGACGGGGCCCTAAATTACACACAGTTGACCGCCTGCTGTCTCTCCTGCCAAATGGTCCTAGGGTTTCGATAGTCTGTGGTGTACACTGCCATGCCAAGTGACAGATGGTGGGATACCAGATCACGCGGGAGCCAGGATTTCAGGGCAGACTCAGCAGAGCCAGCCTGGGGCCCAGCTCCATGAGAGTGCGAAAGCCAAAGGTGGAGGCCACTGCAGAAGCAAACCACTTCTTCCAGGACTTTTGGGATTTCAGCTTAGCTTTTCTATTTGTTTGTTTGTTTTTTCAAATCTTCAGTGTGTGCTGCTTAAACTTTCTTTAGATAGAGTTTAGTAATAATGAGAAACAAGTTTTAAGCCTTAGCTTAAACTTGTTGCAAACGCAGCTGAACTCACATATCCTGTCCCAAAATTTCTTAGGAAAGGAAAGTGCTCATTTCCATTTCTACTCCCCCTTGTTACTAAGCCTATTAGACATACAGAGATAATAAAAACGTTTTTCACTGTAGGCAACTCACATGCTCTATGTTTTGTATTTCATGAAATTTAGGGTTTATTTAAGGAATATATTAAATGTAAAATAAAGTACATTTTTGTATTTAGAGAAGCTCAAAAAATGTAAGTTTTTAAAAATGTTAGCATCTGGGGAAAGTGGAGAATTCCAAACAAAAAGAACAATACATGGATCACTTTAATGTTGCTTTTGATCTACATTAATTTACAATTATTAAAAGAGGAGGTATTCTTCAAATATAGTAATTACTGAGAAAGAAAACTTGTGAAATAAGAGAGCAGAGTAGTGCCTTGGTTTGAAGCAGAAGATCCTCTGCTTCAGGAGAAACCCAAAGCTCCTATTAAAAACAATTAGAACTCCAGAATTAGGAAATCATTCCTCTGTGGAATGTATGGGTCAGTATTATAATCATCAAGATTTGGGAGGTGATGACCCAGGTTTCTATGTGGGCTTAAATTCTTTCAATTGTTAGTTTTCATTCTTATAAACGAGGATGTTATGTACTCCATCTATCTCCAAGAGATGAGGTAATGATCCACAGAGATAAATATAACTAAAAAGTTCTATAAAGTTTTAAGCACAAAAACAAATGTTACTGGTGATTTCTGAATAGTTTCTGTATATTTTAAGGAACATTTGGAGCTGTTCGTGGTGAGAATGTATAGTCTCACCTATATACATTTAAGAAAACGTGAGAACTTTGCTAAACTATAATTTCTGTTATAGTTCTGTAAGTGAGGTAAAAATAAAACATGCTTGTAAAGAGGTTATGTGTCAGAACAGTTAGATCATGTGCTTTAGTCATTTCTTCCAGCACTAGTAACTGACACATGCTGACTGATGGACCCTAGTTTCTCATCTGCCCTATGAACAAAATCACAGGTTTAATGTAAAAACTACGATGTGGACAAAGACTGGCCAAATAAATGCCTCCTAAAGGGTTTGATCATTGCCATAATATTTCAGCTCCAAGTAACAAGTAAGTTAGCTGGCACCATAGTCATAATATGTAAGCATCAGAAATATCTAAGGTAATAATTATATTTAACATAGATTTCAAAACCATATTATTTTGTGATTGGTTAGAGTTACATTTTAAAAAAATATAAGAAGTGAAAGCTGAATTTTCTTACATGGCAGCATATCTATTCTGCAGGCAGGAAAAGTAGTTTTATCAATTAAGAACATGAAATGCCGCAATTACTGTGCACAAGGCAAACTAATTACTGAATATAGTAGTATGAGAAGGATCTGTATTTTGTTTCAGCATGAAGGAGTGATACTCCCAAGAAAGAAAAAGGTTATCCAATATTTAATGAAATTAGAAGACAAATGTTAAAGTACAGAAAACAAGGGTGAGTAAATAATAATGATAATAATGATATCATGATAGTAATAGATATTTGTTAAATGTTTATTTGCTAAAGAATTTGACAAGCGTTTCACATGTGTGACTTTAATAAATCCTCACATCAATGATATAATGTGAAAACCGCAACCTTTCCTCACGTTATAAGTGAGAAGCCTGAGGCTGAGACAGGCCTAATTCGCCTAAACTTAAGAATTTACAAAGGGGAAAAGCAAGCAAAAGAGTTCAGGTAATTTTCCAGAAGCTACAGAAAACCCTAACCTTTCCAAGTGAGTAAAACATAAAAGTTCTGGAGAATATTGTTATGAAAATACAATCTTGTCATCAGTCATTTGTTCAAACTGGCAAATACAAGAAATATTGGAAAATTCAAAATATGCAAATTGATGTTAATACTTATGATGTCCAACAGCACTCTTCACAATCTTCTTTAGAACTCACCCGAATTATAATGCTACAGTCTGGTTCCTTCCTCTCTACGTATACTTCAATTAACAAATCTCCAGCCTGGGAAACCTAGAAAGGGCAGATGTGAAGATAGCACATACATCACTAAAATATATATATATATATATAGGACACCATGTGATTTAAAAATTGTCATCAAAGGGCTAAAATTAGTTAAATTCTCTTGTTAACAAGCATGATGTACTTATTTCAAGATAAGGTTAATGACAAGAAATCTACAGTAAGGTCACAACCACAATGTGACATTTTAAGTCTTGACCTGTTACTGAAATCTGAATACGCTACAGTGGAAATAAACTCTTTGAAAACAGAAGTCATACATGCTACCACCATGTACCTAACTAGATAAACAACATGAGGAGTCAAAATGAGACATATATAATTCTGCTCTAAATTGTAATGTATCCATGATGTCAATAACTACAGATAAATTAGGTTTTATTAAATTTTTAAGAAGATGATAAATTCCAAACATTGTGATTGAAGGATAAACTAGATCAGATCTATAATACAACTACAAATAGAGAAAGTGAACTTAGTAAAACAAAACAAAATAAATAACTGAGGTGTTAGAATAGTCAGACAATAAGGGTTTATTTTAATGACTTCTGACTAAGAATTTAAGAATCAGTATTTGGGTCATTATATCCCATAAGATTAAAAGAAGATACAAATCAGAAAATAAAAATAAAATTTTGAAAAATATTTTGAGTAGCTCTTTTCAGAAATTCAGTGTTACATAACTATTTACAAATAATGTTCATCTCCCAATATTTTTAAAATGATTATAAAGGAGAAGGAATCATTTTGCAGATAAATGTGGCTCATTATAAAACTGATGAGTAAATTTACGGGTAAAACATTAAAAAGTTACTTCGAAAAAGTGTTCATAATTATTCTGTCATCATAGGCATAGAAAAGATCGCTTCCAATTTTTCTTTCTCACTTTTGATGCTATGCAAAAATTCTAGGAAGAAAAAGATACAGTTGACATTTTTTGCTTTTCACTATGTTTGCATAAATAACTCTCTAGGAAGGACACATTTTAAAAATTAAAAAAAGCAAACACAAAGAACTCATAGAAAAGCCATAAAGAAAAACAGCCAAGAAATTCAGAGGAAAGACACAGACTGTTAGAAAAATTCTCAAGAGGAAAGCTTTGAATAATGAAAAACTCAAGCAAAAGAAACACTTTTTTTCAGATTCTTCTACTTTTCCATTTACTGTATGATCTAGAAACTAGTTTTTTTGTATTTTTTAGTGCATTTAAATGCATTCAAGATTCATTTCTTTGTTGAACTATGAATATAAAAGATAAAACATGCAAATGGATATTCATACTTTTCTAGTAACAACATAGATAATGCTGCCAAAAATTACCTCTCAGGCTCATATAACCCTTTATTTCAGGGTTATATGAGCCTCAAATAGTGAGAATTTAAAAGAACTGACAATGAACTACATTCTTACTTTCCTGAAATCTGCAGTAATGACTTTGGTTAAAATAGATGCAATAATAATAATAATGAATGGATGTCACAGTAATAGTACTGAGGAATATCGCAGTATCACAGTATTAGTACTATATCACAGTATTAGTACTGAGGAATTGAAGTGTTGCTTCATCTCCTTCATATGGAATTATAGTTCCAATGTTTTCTCTAATTAGTAGTAGGCATTTCAAGATTTAGGCAAATTTAGGGTCTGACTAATAAGGAGACATTATCTGACTGTAATTATAAACAGAGCAAATTTAACCCACTTCTATTATATACACTGAAACTTGAATTCACTATAATTTCTAGTTACTACACGATGATTAATGGTCAGCCTTAAGAGGTTCCAGTGAATATTCACCAAACAATGTAATGTACCATGGGAAAGCATAATGTGACCTGAAAACATACATGCCATATAGTATGACTGAGGAAAGCTAGACAGGATTTAGGAAAGATGACTTAAAAATTAGCTTGTATTACAAAGATCACATTAGAAAGACTCTCATTAATATAATCAGCTGAGAGCACACAAAGCAAAAGCATATAATAATTTATATTTTCAGAATCATGATGGAATCATTATGCTATCTGAATTTGCAATTTCTTCTAGTATTATTATCATTATTTTTTGGCTTTAAATGCTTCCTTTGAAACTCCCTAGCATTTTGAATAGGTTTTTAAAGTAAATCTTAATAAATGAAATCGTTTTCTGCTGTATTTAAAAAATTTTGTTAACATATTATGTACGGATGTATCAGGTTACAGAATCACATGAGTACTTCATCAAGGAGCTTTTTCCTCATTCTGCTTTCCTCTAATAGGAACTTAAAAATACAATGAGTATGTTTATTTACAAAGTTTTTTGTTTTTGTTTAATCTTTACAAATCTAACTATTACTACTCACTTGAGTGTCTTTCCACTTGGTAATAAAGCTATTTTCTATGTCCATTTGTTTGACTTGGTCTTCTTTAACCTGTTTAAAATATAATTTGGGACATTCTAATAATGTAGAGCACAAGGACTGATGATACTCATCCTCAATAACTCTTCAGGAATTTAAATCCTCAAAAGATAAAAATAAATAAGAATGGTCTTTTTTTCTTTTTTTTTTTTTTGGTAACAGGAATTGAACTCATGACCTTGCGCTTGCCAGGCAGGCGCTGTGCCACTGAGCTGCATCCTGAGTCCAAGAATGGCAATCTTAATCAGCATGGGACCACACAGCCGGGGCAGAAACAAAGTCAATGGAACAGAGTATCATAATGTTCAGAGCATGTGTATATGATCTTCCTTCAGGATGCGGCTTCCACATGGGGAAGCCCTATTGCTAAAGAGATTTAAACAAGCGAAGAGATTGATGATTGGTTTCAAAATTCTTATAGGTCGAGAATTATAACTCATTTCTCAAACCAAAATTTTTATTGAGTGCTTATAATCTTTAACGTCTAAGAAAAGATGGGTTGAACATAACTATGAAGATAATTGCTCAGTTTCTATTAACAGAATGGGACAAAATTAGAATATAAAGAGAGCATGTAAAGCCACACTTTTTTCTTTAGCAACAGATTATCGCAAGAAGTCGCTAATGATCAAAAACAGCAAACACATATACAAAGAAATAGAGAAGCGATCAAAGAGCGAAGGAAATCCAACAATCATGGTGTCCATTCTTCTATCAATTTCAGTAGAAACTGTATTTATTAAAATAGTTCTTTTGTATTCACTAATGAATCCTGTGATAAATTATCCTAATGAGAATGCAGATCTCTGCAGATGATGACCTTTTCCACTATTAACACTAACACATTTTGTTTCATCTGGTATACCTGTACCTTCAAAAAATAAGCAAATTTTTAAACATCATTTAGCGGACTGCCCATAAAGGTTACATAACAAACCTTACACACATAGAATTAATTACATGATAGAACTGAACCTTTGACATAGACCCAGAATATTCTAATCATGGGCCTATTTCCTATTTTCATTTACATAAACTATGAAAGCACTCTATTCTTACAGTTTATTGATAAAATATGAAAATATTAATTTCCCAAAATAGAAAATTTGAAAGTCAATTAATTAAAACAGTGTTAACTTCGTACAAACCATGGAATTATATTTCAGAGTTTTTCTAGTTAGAGGCGTAATTACATTAAAAAAGTTAAAATGCTTTCACAATTGTGGAATTTAAAAGCCTGGTATTTATTATTAAATTCGGTAAACTCACAACTTTTCACAGAAACATTTATGCATCCACACACTGAGAAGAAAACTCTACACACACAAAAGCCTTATAAATACAACTATTCTGTCCAACAAAAACCAGATGGTAAAAGAGCTTTAAAAGCAGATGAATTTAAATGAATGGCTATAGGTTAGAAAGCTGGTTATGTTTAAAAACTTCAAAAAAATTATCCATTATATTCTTCATTTCTAAATACAAGTAAATACAAATAACAACATCCTAAAACACGCATCTTTCTTTGCAAACAGTAACATCAAAACTATATTAACAAAGGCAGGATGTAAAATGCTTACCTCAAATATTTCAACATAATTATTAATTAAGTCCTCAATTACATTCACTTCTTCACTAGTTTGTCCCTTAGTTTGAAATAAACACGATGAAAACACCAAAGCCAAATTATGGGCATTCATGTGATTGATTTCTGAGCATTTCTGAACCCTGTGAGAGAAAAGCACAGTTCATCATGACACACTCCTATTGAAGATTTGATAGAACTGAACTATAAGCCAATATACTTGTTTATTATTTTTTTATGCAGACACATATTAAAGTCCTGTAACATAAAATGAAGAGTGGTGATTTAAACACACACACACACACACACACACACACACACACACACACACTCTCGGTGCTTTCTTCCAAGTGGCTTTGGAATCTGCCTAAAGATTTGAGAAAAAAGCTACAGTAAAGGAGAGATCAGTACAAGTCATGAAACAGTACTTGATGGTGACTTAGAGGGGAGGCTGGCCACATCTGTACGGTTACAGTCAGTGAAACCAGTTGTGGCCAAGGCATGACCAGGTGTGTCCTGAGTGGTATAAAATGTGACTCCTCGTGCTGCAGCATAAGACAGAACAGAAGGGGAGCAAAAGGCAGTGAGGGTGGATTGGTAGGTACATTGTATGGTTCTGAATTCCAGATTTGAGAGTTAGCTAAATTGTCCTTAAAGTGTACATCAGGTAAGAAAGAACACCTTGCAACAGGTATTTAGATGGTTATTCAGAAATGGATACTGTTACGTTTCAAAAAGCAAACTCTTCATTTAAAAACGCAACTTCACTTTTTATGGATCCAACTAAGAATGCCTTTTTAAAAGATGAGCAAATAGTACCTGACAAGGTGGCTCACCCCAGTAATTTCACGTATTTGGGAAGTTGATGCGGGAGGACTGCAAGTACAGCTCTGCTTGGAAAACTTGGGGAAACTGTCTCAGAATGAAACACGAAAAGGAACTGGGACATAGCTCAGTGGCAGAGACTTGGCTAGGATACGCAAGACCTTGGATTCCTGTCTCTAGTACCACAGAGAGAAGAGCAGATATGAACAAACAAGTCAACTTTTCTACCACTAAGCTATAACCAGGAGTCTTTCAAAAAACATTTAAAGTACAACAAACAAAAGTTCACAGTGATTAAAATTTTAAAATTCTACAGCTGTCACCCCAAGAAAAGTAAATTTACATCGTAAAAATGCAATAGATGAGAGAGTGAGTGGAAGTAGCTGAAAAGGGTCTCCATTTGTCATCCCCTGCTCCACTGCCTGTTTAATTAATTTGGAAATTTAAAAAACATTTATACACTAAAGCAGAGCACATATTCCATTAAAGCAATACAGCAAGACTAACCCAGGTAGTCTCCTGTGTAGACCCAATATAGATTCTGGTAGATATGAAAAAGTAAATATGATGGTAATATATATGATAATGTAAGAACTCCATAATGAAATGCAAAATTGCATGGCAGAGACAGAGCAAGCACAGGCATCATATATGATTTACAAGATGCAAAAGAAATTGGAATTTAATAAAGCAGGAATGTAGCAATTGCAGACACGTCTCTCAAATCTAGTTCTGTACTTTTATCACACTAGACTGCAAACTCCCCAAAATTTATCTCCATGTCTGCGCTGAAGCTAGACTCTCAGGTCCTCACAGTCAGGCACTCTTACTTTAATCACACTGCACTGCATTATAAATACCTCGTGAATGGAACTGAGTGAAAGTTATTAATGGCAGAAATTATTTTGTATCTAAATTAGGGATTGAATTAAATGCTACATCAACCTGACCTTAACTGAATTCACCTCTCAAACTTTTGATGACATTAACGAATATTACACCTTTCTTTAGAGTACTTCTGTAACATCAGTTCCATCTGGCAATCTTTATCCCATTTATTTTTAGTTTCCGAGACTGCTTTAACTACTGCAAGAAACTGGGTACAACATAGATTTTATTTTTCTTCCTTTACTTCTTGGTGCCCAAATGCATAATCAGCCTGTTCAGTCTCTTTTCACTGAAACCTCATCAGAAACCCAAAGAAAGTGTTCCCCACTTAGTTTCTCTGCCTCTCTCAATGTCTGATCACAGGGACTATTGAGCTAAATCAGATTTGAACAATCACTCATTACTTAGTGGGATAAAGTCCAAATGTGTTGGCATGAACTGAAAAGTCTCTCACAACCTTCAATCAGTTAACTATAAACAGTTTCAAGTACATGTCTTAATACTCATCTGTCCCAGAAGACAGATATTCAGATATTCTTTACTCTTTCTCTGTGTGTGTGTGTGTGTGTGTGTGTGTGTGCGTGTGCGCACGTCCAAGAGGGACAGAGGGGGAGAGGAAGAGAGGAAAAAAGGAGGGAGAGAAGGAGGAAGGGAGTCAGAGACACACACAGAGACAGTCTGTCTGTTTCCTACTCTGGTCTCCAGGCTGGTCTTTGACTGCTAGGCCCCAGTAAGTGTTGTTCCTGCTTTAGTCTTCCAAGTAACTGGAACTAAAACTGTACATTGTGTCTGCCTTTGTACCTTTTTTTTCCATGCCCCAGTTCACATTTCTTTTTAAATCTGAAGTATATAAACATTCCCTGGAATTCAAGCCACAGTGACTCACTCAGTCTCTCCTCTATAATTACATGCTTCATGCTAAAATTATCTATATTAAAATTTGCCCAGCAACTCATAAGACTATATTTGTGTGATACAATAGGAAAATCAGTTTTGCTGGGAATGCAACTTGGCAGTAGGACACCTACTTTGCATAGTCCCTAGCACCAAGGGGGAAAAAAAAACAGAAAATCATTTTATAATAATAAGACTTTATAATACTACATAAAAACTAGTGGTTGAAAAAGATAGAGAAAGGACAACATGTTGTGAAAGATTTCTAAACTAGATTTCAAGGAAGATATTTTTAGTAGACTTCAGCTTCATAGAAATTTATTCAAGGGAATATTTTATTCATACAGGGAGCTACAATATATTCCCTTAAGCAAAATTTATACCTTTAAAAGTTTATATGATAATTCTTGCTAAGATCAACATATACAAACCAAACTTCAGTTTTAACATAAAAGGTTATTTTTAAATATCCTCATCCTCCAAATGTCTCAATTCACCATTTTATTTGTTATCTCCTTCCAAGTACAAAGTGACCTTCATGCCCTAACATGGAAAATACTTTTAATTTTAAATATTTTCTCATTTGGTAAGTCTGATATCAAATATCAGGGGATAGATAAGACCTAAACTGATAGTGAAAAAATGAATGAACCAAAAGAAAACATTTAAAAACAGATTCTCTCAGAGAACTCTGATCATGCAGAATACAATAAATCACCCACTCACTATAATTGCATGCAACACATTTAAAAAATCTCTCTATTAAAATGCATCCCACATTCCACAGACATAGACTAGAGACTATATTTGTATAATGCAATGAAAAATAACCCCCTCCTTCTCCAACTTCTACCCAAGTGAGTTTTAAAATTCTCATACACTGGGTGCATCTGGGGATTTTTGATTATTTCTGATTCATTTAAATTCTCCAGTGCCATTTAATTGTGTGACTTTACAGAAAACTAAAGCAATAGACCTTACTATAATGATGAGACACAGTCACCTGAAGATCAACTACATAGTTTAAGAAAAATTATAATTCATTATGTGCCATGTTTGAAATGTCTATTTGAAGAATCCACCCACCTGTAAAGGTGTTCAATTATAGCTGCAAGAGTTGCTCGGTTGACCCCTGGAAGAGTACGTATAAATGCTCCATACTTTTTAATTCTTTCCTTCTCATCTTGTGTATCTAGAGGGAGGAAAAAAATCTTTAATCCTTTATATAATAAATCTGCCTTTTTAATGTGTTTTAAAATAACAGTTACAAGTATTACAAGAAGTGACAAAATGAGCTTTCAGTAGAAAATATAAAATAATTGCCTACAATTATAGGAGAGCTTTATTTACATAAATATTCCATGGCCCATATTCCATGAAAATGAGATGGGAAGGTTTATCTTCTACTTTGTAGACTAAAAATTTTTAACTTACTATGAATACATTCAACTAATTACTTAAAATGGAGAACAAACTGGAAAGCTAAGACAAAAGTATATTAACTCTGCCTATAAAGAGGTTTCATTACTTGGATTTGAAAATGACATTTCTGATCTTTTTTATTTATGAAATGAGGAAGATCTTCCCAAAACAATGAACTATCCTGCAGCTAAGAAATGTGTATTGCTCTCTGGTCCATGTGAATGGTCTTTTATCATTCTTGCTATCTTCAAATCTTTCAAGAAGTTCAGGAAGAATGGGAGAAGTTGCACAAAGGCCTTAACACAACGATCTAGACTTAGAAGTTAGTGGACCTATTTCATTGTGGCTAGAAATTAATTAGTCCATGAAGAGGAAAATGAGAAGGAATTTCCGTCCACTCTTTTAATCCCAGACAAAAAACTCACAGAGAAATTAGAGATAAGAATCCCTCAAAGTTCTAGACTCTAAAGGATGTGTGATGGTTGCTCATTCCTACTAAAGGAAATGAATGTTATTTCAAGGAAAAGTTTGTGATGACTTTGCAACTCAAAGGGAATGTACTTAAATACTTCTTTCAATTCTTGACTACTTTAGAAACTAAACTTTTTTTTTTTTCATTTCTTGCTTAACACTAGTATTCTATTTATATAGAGCCAATAATACAATAAAGATTCTTTAAAGGTTTTCAGACACCTGGATTTTGGGATTCCACAGATGTAAGAAACTCTGTGGCATATTTTTCAAGTACATCCCTATTCAAAACTGCAAGTGATACCTCTATGATGTTGATTTATCCTGCATAGGAGATCTACAAGTATAAACAGTTATCAATTTTAATGCTGTAGTTGATGACCCATAAAAGCAATTGAGGAAAATGGTCAAATTACATTAAAAATCTAAGAATTATTATTCCTAGTATAATCTAAACATTTGCCTTGATGTACTCCAGTTTACTGTTGTAGGAGTAACATTTTATTCAACAAAATGTAACTAATGCTGCTATAGTAAAAATGTCATACTAGTATATTTTTATGTTTCTTATAATAATAATATCAATATTTTGAAAATAAAGACAATCAATTGGAAAGCAAAATTCAGGAATTGTTTTGGGTAATAAAGAAAATACAATGAGCAATTTAACTGGCTCAGAACTCAGACAATTTAATAGTGTTCTTAAAAAAACAGACCATATACAAAAAATAGCTGGGGCATGCTATGATCAGGGGCACAGGACACAAGGGAGTTCTTCAATAAAGTCACCCAAGAATCATTGTTTATCCCTGTCAGAACCGTCAGAACCGACAGCAGACACTTCTAAAGTGTTTGGCTCAGTTACATTGGATCTAAAGGCAAAAGACATACAGGCTGTTCAGCCTCATATCCAAAGCTTTCTACAAGTACCTTCTCAAAGAATTCACACCAAAGTGAAAGGTCTTTTCTGACATATACACCTACCAGCTGCCACCTACCTCTTCTAGGTGGACTGATACCAGTAAAAACTTCTTGACATTTGAAGATTTCAGCAAAATCTTATTTGTTATATATTGTGGATAATCGACTTTACAATAAAGACAGAATGCAAGCCTTCTTAAAATAGAGATACTACATATAACTTTACAGCTATACATTATAACAAAATCACTGAGAAACAGAAATGAATGCTAAAGGGGAATCAGACCTGGACAGAGACATTTATCTAATTACACAACTTATATCTCAGGAAATTATTCAATCACATTTTGGGATTGCAATTAAGCTTACTGATTTGAAAAATACTTGGAAGCAACTAAAAGATGGTCTTCAGAATTAGGTAGTTAAACTATGAAAAGTTTTATTTAGGTAGTTCAATTATGAAAAGTTTTATTTTAATGATATTACTACTCTTTTAATATTGATACTGATAAAAGTCATTATAGGAATAATTTTCAAATTGTAGTTATTTTGTGATACGATTTCAAAATTAATACTTTCAAATATATTAACTGTATTTTAAAATGAACAAAATACTGTTAGTGAAAAAGCCTTTTTTTTAAAAAAAGAATAACAGTGCCAAAGTTAAAAGCCATTTTTAAATGACCTTAAAGCAGAATAAATTATAAAAAAGTGTAATTATAGTAAAAATCGAAGTTCAATTTTAAAAGCTAAAAGATTGAAAATTACCGTATAAAAATGGAGTTATATAGGAAATGTTTACAGATTCCTAAGAAAAAGAAAAATATTTTATGTAGACACATCACAAAAAGACTAATACAGGAAAATGAAACACATTTATTAGAGGAGACTAAATCCATTGTTCACATTTAGAAATCTTTATTGTAATGCTTAATGTTTCAGTATTACCTATTTAAAATTTATGCATATAGAATAGGTTTTCATATATTTAACATGACCAAAGAATGATTCACTAAACTACTTCTCTAGAATCATCTCTCAAGTTCTCTTCCTTTCATGGAATCTTCCTTTCATGGAATCTTCATTTCATGAAGAATGAGTAAAAAAAAAAAAAAAAATCTGTTATGTCTACCAAAGATGTAGATTAAATGACAGAGGAAAACCAATTTTCAGATTATCAAAGATTTAACACTTTAACAATCAAATCAGAAAGCAAACACCGGTTCTGTCCCACACCATATACTTTACCTAAGGCAGAGACCCAGTATGGATAGAGCTCCTTAGTGAGAAGCGCATCATCGATGTCGGAGAGAAAACTTTTCAGCACACCCGTCACATCTTCAAGCTGATGCTTTCCAGCCCTCAATTTAAAGCTTCGTGCATCCTTCTTGAAATTCTCCAGGAGTTCACTTATGTGCAAAGGATCACCATTCTTTTGGTAGATATACTTGCAACCCAAACCTTTGTTTAAAAAAAAAGTTTACATGAAAAAAGTCTCAATTCGAAATCTACTTTAAAAGAAAAAATTTTTGTGATGAGCAAGATGAAGATACCATTATCCTGGGCATGAGAGGCTTCCCACCATTAATGCTTAAAATGTGAACCAGATGAACAAACTGTTCCATCCTCAGCTTTTAGCCAGGCTCTGGCCAACAATTCCTCCAATTCTTAAACAGATTCGTTTGTAAATGTTCTTTTATGACAAGTAATTCCCAGTTACTGTCTCAGATACAAATTTGCCTCCATTCTGACAGAAGTACAGCTCTCTTTTAAAAAAAAAAAAAAATCCTAACCTTTCAGCCTTGTATTTGTGTATTAATTTCTTTCTGTTTTCACCCTGACCTGGTGTGATGATGATACAAAAATATTCCACTGGCCACTTCCACATTTCTTGCCCTTTTCCTTTCAAGACCAGGTTGAATTTCCTCTAAGTATGATCTCCACTGTTCCACATTCTCTCAACATACCATCTTCCTTCTGTGCCCAATTCCCAATCTTTTGGAAACACGGCCATCAAGAATTATTGATAACATCCTCCTAGATGCTTTTCAGCTTTTAACTAAAGAGAATTCCCTGCAGCATCTGACACACCACAAGAATCCCTGTTAGAATTCTTTTAATCTCATGGCTCTCATAATATCATGATCTCATATTTCTCTTTTTCTTCCCTGCCTCTGTGGCTACTTGCCAGCCTTCTCTTTATTCTGCTTATTTAATTTTTGTTAGTGATTCCTGGATTTCATCTGCTGTTCTCTTTTTTTGGCCACCATAGAAAATTCTCTGAGTGAATCCATCCGAACTCATCATTCCAAGTACTATACATACACTTTGACCTTGGTTTTAATTTTTAAAATTTCACACATGACACATCTATACATATGCATTTATCATGTGCACATTCACATCACTCATATCCTTATGGATAAACTGAAAAAACCCAAAGGAAGCAATTCTCTAGTTCCACCAGGCACCTCATCACTAAACCCCAGCATATTTATTTTGCTCCTTGACCTCAGTATATGGCATTGTCTTCTTGTCACATTGTAAGTCACAACATTTCTTCCTTAGCTCCCACACGAAAGAAAGAGCTGTCATTATTTTTCATGATCTCACTCTTGCCATGATCTTCTTTGCAGCCCGTATGCTATCACTTTGTGCACTTGCTTGTTCACTATGTTTTCACAACTCCCCACTCTCTTCTTGTGCAGTCTGAGAGTCCATCTGCATCACCGTGACAAAGTGATATAAAAGTACTATCTGCAAGTTTAAACACTGAGACACTACCTTCATATAGGACAAGGGATTTCACTGAGATAGCTGAAAAAAGTGCAGAGTTTGGCTTAAACTCCTCCCTACTGTATGCAGTTCTTCTCATACTAACCTCTGGCCATATTTTAACAAAACGAACTTCTCTGAAAAGCCTCCTTTTACTATCTCTGTCTGGGTAAGATTTACCACTATACTTATAGATATCGGTAGCAATCCTGAACCTCTTTATCACATAATTTTGTAAACTTGGGATGTTACTGCCTGCTCACTTATGTCTCTACTTCATAATTTTATAAACAAGGCAAGGATCCCTACAAGCCAAGGATTCCTATTCTGTGTATATAGCCAATAGCTATAAGTATCCCATGCAGGTGAACATAGTGGCCCATGTCTATAATTCCAGCACTGGAGAGGCTGAGGCAGGATTACTGAGAGTTTCAGAGAGTTTGTACTACACAGGCAGTTGAAGGCCCCCCTAAACTATGTAGTAAGACTCTGCCTCAAAAAAACAAAACAAAACAAAAATAACTCAATGTGTATTTGATACATGATTGATTATAGAAAGAGTAAATTCTACCGAAAAACAAAAAATGAATAACCAAAAAACAACCTGTGACTCTGTGTCTAAAATATCATGCTCCCAGTAAAGGGTAGTATCTGGTGTAGTATTCAAGTTTAGCAGTTAACTGAATAAAAATTTGAATGCAATTTTGTTCACATAAATTAAAATAACTTACCCTAAGTAGTAACTACTATACTTGATTTTAAAAAGTTACAACACTAAAAGCAGCACCTTAAACTTGTCGAGTTCAAACTACAACATGAAAAGCACAAATCATTGGCCTTTGGATTTTAACACACAGTCAGAATGTCCAAATTAATGACTACCATAAATACTGTAAGCGAAATACCTGCATCATGCAATCATGGGCAATTTCTAAAATTATATCAAATCTTCTTTTTTAATACATGACAATAACAATGAACCCCAAGTTCTAATCATACTGGCTTTATCACTTAAATGTACAAGTCAATGCACCTTGCATTAGAGTTATAAAGTAGTTATAATATATAATATTTATTTGAAAACAACCTAATGGTTAATCATTTTAAATTCAAATAAATACCATAAAGAAACTTCTAATTTCTCTAAGGAAATAATCAATTGGATACATTAGAACTACTCAAATTATTTTAATCATTTTCAGCTTAAGAAAACCCCTATGCTGTTATGAAATGTGACGTGTGAAAATTCCCAATGAGGTTATGTTCTTGCTAAAACATAATATATGTGCAAAAAGTAAAAGCATGTTAATACTGGATAACTGTAATCAATGAAAATGATAAGCTTCTATTTTCTCATTTTCAAATAAATTTCATTACAGCTGATAAGAAAATATAAACTTCTTGTCATAGCAAGGACCTTCCTAAACTAAGTCACATATGTGATCTGGTACATAATTTCAAGAAAGATGTAATATAAATACAATGAATCTTGACATTAATAATAACTGTATTTGGATTATATTTGAAGATATAAAAACACCATTCTCCTTAGAAGATATTAAAACACACATAGTACAAGCTTAATTCCAGAAAATGAGTGTTGTCAAGGTCTTGCTACTTGTGACATGTTCTTACATTCAGCACACTGTCAATCTTCCCTTCTAGAACAAAGATACATCTTCTTTTCAAATCAAAACACCCAAAGACTTCTCTTTTATAATACGAGAACAAAATAGTTAATACAGCTTCAAAAATACTGGATCACAAATTTACTCTTTTCCACATGTGTACTTTAAATGAATAGTATTTATCTGTAGGTCAAAAGGTAGAAAATATTTTAAGAATACAGTTAAGAAATACCTACTTTTAGAATCTGAAGATATATGTAACTAAGAATAAAATTGAAAAATATATAATAATTTGGAAATAAATAAGAAACAATATAAAATACTCTACCACATACAATTAAACAGACTATTTAAATGCACATTAAGTTGCTTTTACTTGCTATTTACTCATAAAATTATCTGATGCAGATAAACAAAAACTATTAAAATTAATAACTATGTTTCATAATAAAACATTTGACCAATAGCATGCTGAATGAAATAAATGCACATACGTGCCTAAAGAAATCAAATTCTCTTACATATTATTCCAAGTTTTATACTTCTAAACTCATGCTTAGCAGGTGAATTACTCTAGGTTTTACTCTAGACTTGGAACTTCTAAAGTCTTTACTGTATTTATGTACATTGTATGATATATTCTTTCAATACATTTTTAACATTTTCATACATATAGAGGATGAAGGAAATGGTAAAAATAAACTACACAGTTTAAGTGAGTTTTACTAGCAGAAGGAATGACATCAGCTGAGTACAGAGCATGCTCTTATTTTGTACAGGTATAATTATGGAAGGGCATTCATCAGTCCAGTGGCGGTGTCACTTGGAAACTGTAAAAAATGATCCTGTGAGTTCTAGAAGTTGAATAAAAACTCTGTGATACATACCATACTGTGTAACAAATGCTATACAGCTGTTCACAATAATGGGGACGTCATTTTTGCTGAGCTGCTGATCTTGTAATGCATTACCATCTGTACCTGCTGCTTTTTCAATTGCAGTATGCCAGACTGTGAAATCCAGCTTGGTATGCCCGTGGATGTATAACGTTCTGTTAGATTTAAAAAGCATTTCAAATTAGAATTTTTCTTTTAAAAAATTTCTTACTTCAAGACAGATTAGCCTTCGATTCACAAAAATACGATCCTGTCTCACCCAGCTGAAAGACCTTTCTGTTTTAGCTTCCACTCGCTACTAGCTCCCCGAGTCTGTGTCTTGCCTTGACAGTCACATCTCTCCCGGAATAAAGGGAGTTCCCCCTTCTTCACATGCCACCTCTTAACCCTCCAAATCTTTTATTCTGTTTCTGAATAACTACACTAAAACCATAAGGGTAACATCACCAGTAGCTTCTAATAGGTATTTCTGGCTTTTAGACCAAAAAAAATTAGAATCACTGATGATTTTATTTCTTGAAAAGTTACCCTCTGATTTGGCCTTTATGGCCCAATTGCTTTGGGATTTCTCTCATCTCTATCTACTTACTTGTTCAGCCTCAAGTCCACTTTCTCTTCCTGAAAAACGAAGTTGTGTGTGATCTTTGCACCCACAAAAAACTCCCTGGACTCTCCAGGTATATGTCATTGGGGCCGATGGTTTTGCCTCTCCTTTGCAAACTGGGAACTTCCAAAGCCCTATCTGCAGGTGGTAATTGCCTCTCTCCGCTCAGTTCTTGCTTTAAAAAGCAAGCGTACAGGAGCACCTCAAGTGCGAGAACTGCAGTTAGACCTTCCAAACGGAAACTTTAGCTTTGCCGCTGACTTGCTTTGTAACACTGGATAATTTACCAACTTGTCTGTGCCGCAGTTTGGTCACCACTGAACTGAGGATGACAGAAGAACCCAGCTGAGCACACAATACATATTAACAACGAATGAAAAGTACTTCTAATAAGTATTTTTGGGCACCTTCATCTTAATACACTACAAACTTGCCAAAAATTTCTCTCTTCTCATACCATACTGTTTCTGGCACCACAATCCTCCACTTAAGATGAACTCTAGAATAATTTCTTTGCCAATGAGCACCACAAATTCAGTCACAAAATTCTGCTGACTCTGATTCTCCAAAATACTTTCTCCTCACTGTCTTATTTCGGATCTCTATATTCTTCCTTGAGGTCACTAAGAGCTCTAACTGTATTTCTTTCTCAGTCTTCACCCCTTCTAGCTCCTACTCCTCCATATTATCAGACCAGTCTTCTGAAAAGCTAATGACATCACATATGGATCACTGTAAAAGTTGTTTATGAACTGGCCTGTATTTTGCTCTCCAAATGAATCTTCTATACCAAAGACACTCTTTTTTTTTTTTTTTTTAAAGAAAATCACATAAATATCTAACTTCTCCTTGGCTACAGCAGCACACCATAAAGGTAGCTTCCATGTGACATTCCCAGGGCCCCTGTCCCTTATCTCTTCTCCTGTTCCTCGTGGATTAAAAGTTTTCCTTTTTAACTCATCAATACATTTGCTATCTGTTAAACCATCTGTTGAATCCATATGTCTTAGCTACAAACTTTGCACAAGGAAGCAAGAAGTACTTCAGTCTCTGTAGACAACATATAGTGCCTGAAGGAGACGCCACCGCTGCCGTGCCACACTGTCCAGCGGTATCTAACTACCGCCTTTACTGACCACTGGGTCTGCAGTCGTCATCTGTTGCTCTCTCACATCCCCATCTGCTGTTTTTAGTTACCACATCACCGCAGCAACCCCAGCCTACAGGCTTGTGATTTTGTTATGAAGAATTCTGACACTTGTTCTAATACTTCTGCCATGTTTTAGGCTTTGATATATCTTACATCAACTGTTGCTCAAACACACTCTGTTGATAGGTATACTGAAGTAATGTATACCTGTAAAATGATGTATGTAAAATGATGTAATTCAATTTCCCTGAAAAATATTAACCTCCCATATTATATTCACTTAGTCAAAATTATAGCTTGCTGAATTCAAAAGTTTAGGTAAAAAAATAATGTTTTCATTTTTGTTTTTATTTACATATATTTTCATGTGATAATTAGGCTCTAAATATGACACAAAATCCTGAAAAGTGTTTACATATATATATATATATATATATATATGGTTTATATTTATAAATATAGGTATATATTTATACTTATTTATCTATTTATATGGTTTGTGAAAGAAATTCAAAATGCAATGGTACTCCTACAACACTAATATAATTCTGCCAGTGAATCCTGTAAACCTTTCAGACTTCATATTTTTTTCCCAGTCAGAAAAAATTCCCTGATGACAAGTTTAGCTGTCTTCTTGTGAACTAGTGAGATGTAGAGCAAGTAATGACAGGTTAACTCCCAAGTCAACTTGTCAGAGTGAATCCTAAAATATATTATCTACTGCAGTAGATGCCTGACATTTAATAGCATCAGTTCAACAACTTTTTTCTCTGATGCATATCTAAATTCTACATGGCAAATAAAGCATCGCGATACATTTTCAACATACATGCTGACCAACATGGTAACTGTAAGTTTTTCACATAATCAATTCACATGTCTGGATAGAAATTTCAAGGAAAGCTTCATATATATTCTGAAAATCTGAAAAGTTATTTTCACAAAGTACAGTAACAGAGAAATTAGTTATTGTGATTGCCCATTCCCCAAGCAAAAATTTCCACATATCTTTCAAAGTCATCTAAAGAAACATTCCTATTTGCTATAATCACCTGGGGTAGTCAATAAGACCTAGAAACCAAGTCCCAAGACTAATAAAAACAATTCCCTCAAAATTGCAATATAAGTGTCGACATATTTGAGCTTGGTCTATGGATAAGAACCAGAAAGAAGCCTCTTCACAAGAGAATCAGTAAGTGTATTTGACTGCATAAAAACAAACTTATTCATAAAGAACATTTTTAATACAACTTAAGAATAACGTACCACAAAAGTGATTGAAAAAGAAAATATCGTAAACATTTAAACAAAAATAAAAACTCCTGTCATCAAAAGAAATACACTTACAAGCCATGAAAAAGTAATTTGCAGAAAAAATTCAATTTGCTAATAAACACAAATAAATCTAAGAATGAAAGACATATATGAAACATATATTTATATAGACAGAAGAAACAGCAACATATCAAAAGTTGTCAAAGATTTAAAATGTCTGAGGTTTCTCAGTAAAGACTAAAACGAGATGAACACTGTGGTAAACTTGTTAAATATTCTGAAGGGAAACTTGGCAATATGCACTATGAGACTTAAAATACACTTGCCTAAGTTTTGACAAGTAATAGTAGTCACAGGCCCAACCACAAGCGCATAATTTGAAATGCAGATACAATTCCTGTTTCTTACCATATCTGTTTGGGCCTTTTCTCATGCATGCACACATGCATACCAAAACACATATTTACCAGAACACTTTAAAAAAAATCGGAAGCAAATTTAAAACCTAACAAGGGAAGTTAAGGGATTTACTATGCATACACAGATACATGGATTTTGTAACATTAGTAGAGAATACATAATTGAGTGTGCATGTAAATTTAGTTGTATCTTAATTGTCCATGGGTAAAAGACTGACATTTTATTATTTATAATGTGCATATAAAAAAGGTATTAAAAGCAAATGACATAAATCAAAGTTTTCACTGGTCTATTAAAGGGTATATACGGCAGCCTTCTAAATTTAGTCTGTTTTAAGCAGAGAATTGGAAATCTCTGCTATGCCTTTCATTTATGACTAGGAAACTAAGGACTCAAAAGAATTTACACAAGGCCCAAGGCTAGGATTGAATATTAAACGAGCTAAGAATGCAGTTTTTCTGGTCTTATTTGAAGGAATCTAGTACATCATTTGTTACGTGAAAAATTAAGAACCCTTTAAAGAGTTGATCCTCAGTATCAGAAGTGCTCATTGTAGAAGCAGAACTCTGATGTCACTTCGCCTTTGTCTTATCACAGGTACACAAAACAGGGCTTCCCAAACGACTTACCTAAAGGTTACATTATTGGAATAAACCCGGAAAATGATCCGCTGAAGCCACTCCTAACAGCAAATCTAAAGAGAACCTTTGGTCATGAACTTCATTCTTCCCACAATACTAGTTGCAAGCTAAATACCGAATCAAATTTCCCCATTAAGGACAAGACTGAACCTGATCACTCAATTTGATTTTTGGTTCTCATCCATTCTGGCTTGTGACCATAATCATGAAAAGAATTGTTTGTGATCCAAGGTACCAGTACCACTGCATTGCCTTTTTTAAAAAAGGAACAGTTTTCATTGTACGTTGGAAAGCATTATAGGGACACTGGAAATGTAATGGATATGACTTTGGAAGAGAATTTTGGAAATGTCCACCACATGTTTTCTCTATGCTGAGCTCAAAGTAAGAACACAACAAGCATGCTAGGAGGCATTTAGTCATTTAGTGGGAATTTTATTGATATAAAGTGATACTCAGTCAACAGAATTTTTAATGTAGTAACGTACTAATTTTGATTGTACAACTGAAAACATTTCAAAAATGCCTACTCTCTACAGAACAATTCCATCATTCATAAAATTGCCTAGTAACTCTGCAATAATTCACTTCTACCCATGAATTTAGGTCAAACGTGGTTGCTTTCCATTATTATTTATTAGTTTACCTATTTAGCTTTTCCTATAAAAGGAATCATACAATGTTACCCTTTCTATCTGGCTTCTTTAATTCACTGTAGTCTTTCTAAGATTCATTCATATTGTTGTTAAAACTGGTATGTATGAAATGTGATAAAACCAGGGCAAATGCTGCTGCCTGGTGTCATCTGACAGAAAGGCAGGCTCATAAAAGTATTTGTGTGCTGTCATCCACCTTATTCACTGCACCTGAAACCAGGTGACTTCTGGCTCTTCCCCGAAGTCAGACTCATCATGGAAGGAAGTATTTTCAGCTCACTCAGGACACTGAGGCAGCCCTGACAGGGTAATTAAAGGTGCTCATACAAGAGGACTCTCAGTACTGCTTCAGAAAGGGGCAAGAATGCAGTAAGTGTATTCAGAGCAAGGGGAGGATTCTGAGAGGGAC